GAACATTGGGGAATGGAGGGGTTAGTGAATGATCTAGTTTGACTGGAATGTAGTGCAGGAGTTATGTCGGGAAAAGAAGGTTAAAGACAGATTATAGAAGGCCTTGAATTCCAGGATTAGGAATTTATACTTTATTTCACTAGATAGTGGGAGTGAATAAAGGCTTTTGAGTAGATTAGGTTGCAAGTGGGTTACTCACTTATAAGGGACAGCAAAGATAGGAAATGTCTGAGGTAAGAGAACCATGATAGTAAGCACTATATACAAATGTTAGCTATTATTGTTATTATTACACTGTTAGAAGCGGCGTGAAGGGAAGCTGTTGAGAGGGGACAGTGTACAATGGCAAATACAGAAAGGTCATGGATAATATTGGCAGAAAAATGGTTATTGGATTTAGTGATGGAGTCATTGTTGGCTTTGGAGAGAGCAGTTTCAGTAGAATGGTGGAATCAGAAGACTGATTTCAAGGAGTCAAATAAATGGATGGGAAATAGTGGAGAAGTGAGTGTAAAATACTCTTTTCAAACCTTTGAAAACAAGCAAGATGGTGAGGGTTTTTTGGAGGATATTGTAGAGGGCAAACACAGCATGTTTGTAGGTTAAGGGAAAGGGACCAGCAGAGAGGAAGAGATGGACTGATAAATTAAGCAAGACTATAATGGAAATGGTTGATAAGATTGAGAGAACAGATAGAAAGACGTTATCATTTTATTAGAGTAGAAAGAATGATAGTTAAGAACTGGAGAAAAGAAGGGGGGGATAAATGAGAACATGGATGAAGAGGAGCCCAGGAGGTGAGTTGAAGGCCACAGTCTTTTTAGTAGATAGGTAGAGCTTTTTTAAGTGCTTGCTATATGGCAGTCATTGTGTTAAGTTCTGTAGATAGAAATGTATACAAGCTAGACAGTCTCTGCCCTCAAGGAATTGATATTCATATGGCAGAAGACTACACTTGAAGGGCAGGATAGGGAGAGGATGCACTTGGCTGGGCTTGGTATGGAAATGTCAGATAAGGCCAAAGCTGGCCTCTCTGAACCCAGGGTAGCTGCAGGGGAAAAATCCAAGGTTCTGGTAGATAGGGAGAAGAAAGGCTTCATCCTTATGATGGCCCAGTGGAGATGGTATGAGAAGATGAAAAACATTGAGGGAGGAAGGGGGTGAAGTTGTAGGGTGTAAGAAGAAAACAACAGCTGTTGTAGAGAATAAAATAATAATGAAGAGATGAGTAAAAAGATTTTTGTGCACTTCTGGAAGCTCAGTGGAAGTTAGCCTAAATTTGGAGTGGATTGGTTAGCTCATATTTTTGTTTGTTTGTTTGTTTAGTGAGGCAATTGGGATTAAGTGACTTGCCCAGTCACATAGCTAGGAAGTATTAATGTGTCTGAGACCAGATTTGAACTCAGGTCCTTCTGACTCCAGGGCTGGTGTTCTATCCTCTGTGCCACCTAGCTGCCCCTTCTTTCTCTCTCTTTTTTTTAAAATTGATGTAAGCCTTTAGAAATAAAAATTTTCCCATAAGTGTTGCTTTGGCTGCATCCCTCAGATTTTTGTTGTCTCATTGTTGTCATTATATTCAATGAAATTATTTATTGTTTCTAATTTGTTCTTTGACATATTCATTTTAAAAGTTGAATTATTTAGTTCCCAATTAATTTTTAATTTGCTTTTCCGTAATCCTTTTTTTAGTGTAATTTTTATTGCGTTTTGGTCTGAAAAGGGTACATTTAATATTTCTACTTTTCTGCATTTGTTTATGAGGTTTTTATGTCCTAATACATGGTCAGTATTCCCATTCAGCCTTCTTCAGAGGTCTATTATAACTAACTTTTCTAAAATTCTATTCATCTTCTTAATTTTTTCATTTATTTTATGTTTAGATTTATCTAGTTCTGAGAAGTGAAAATTGAAGTCCCCACCCCATGACCCCCCTCCAGTATAGTTTTACTGTCAGTTTCTTCCTGTCGCTCATTTAACTCTTAAGAGTTTGGATGCTGTGCCATGTAGTATTGATATCATTTCATTGTCTGTGGTACCTCTTAGCAAAATGTAGTTTCTCCGGTTCTCTTTTAGTTAGGTCTGTTTTTGCTTTCACTTTGTCTGAGGTCATGATTGCTACCTTTACTTTTTTACTTCAGCAGAAGCATAATAGATTCTGCTCCAGCTTCTAACTCTGTATTTGTCTTTCTGTTACAAGTGTGTTTCTTATAAATAACATGTTGTCGGATTCTGATTTCTAATCCATTCTGCTCCACTTCCATTCTGTGAGTGAGTTCATCCCATTCACATTAATAATTATGATTGCTAACAGTGTATTTCCCTCCATTCTATTTTCTTCTGTTTATCTTTCTTTTTATATATTTTTTTACCTCGTCCCTCCTTAATATTTGCTTCTGACCTCTGCATCCCTTAATCTGCCCTCCCTCTTATTACTTCCTTCCCTTCCTCCCTCAACTCTTGTCACTTCCCCTCCTACATCACTGTTGGACAAGACAGAGAGGGGGAAAGAGAGGGGGTGGGGGGAAGAGAGAGAGAGAGAGAGAGAGAGAGAGAGAGAGAGAGAGAGAGAGAGAGAGAGAGAGAGAGAGTGAGTGTGTGTGTGTGTGTGTGTGTGTGTGTGTGTGTATTGTATCTTTGAGCCAGTTTCAGACAAGAAGGAGGTTCAAGAGTTGCTCACTTCCCCCTTCCCATTTTCCCTTCCAGTATAAAAAGACTTTCTTGTGTGCCTCTATTATGTGAAATAATTTTCCATTCCCTCTCCCCTTCCCCTTCTTCCACTGCAATCCTCTTTCTCATCCCCTCCCCTTTTATTTTGAGGTCATTCCAATATAACTCACAAGTACCTTTAATTACATTAATAATGATAAAGTTCTTAGGAGATATATGTATTATCTTCCTACATAGGAGTATAAACAGTTTAACTTTATTAAATCCCTTGTAATTTCTCTTTCATGTTTTTCTTTTTATGCTTTTCTTGAGTCTTGTGTTTTAATTTCAAATTTCAAATTTTCTATTCAGCTCTTTTCATCTGGCATGCCTCAAAGTTTTCTATTTCATCAAATGTCCATTATTCTCTTGAAATGTTATACTCAGTTTTGCTGGATAGGTTATTTTTGGTTGTAATCCTAGCTCCTTTGCCTTCCAGAATATCACATACTTAGCTCTCCACTTCTTTAATGTGGTAGCTGCTACATTTTGTCTGGTCCTGAATGTGGCTCCATGGTACTGATTTCTTTCTTGTTGCTTTTAGTTATTTTCTGTTTGACCTAGAAGCTTTAGAATTTGGCTATAATATTCATTTTGGGATCTTTTTCAAGAGGTGATCAATGGATTCTTTCAATTTCTGTTTTACTCTCTTATTCTAAGATATTAGGGAAGCTTTCTAGTTTCTTGAAATGTGCTGTCTAGGTTCTTGTTTTTGATTATTTCTTTCAGGTAGTTTGATAATTCTTAAATTGTCTTTCCTTAATCTATTTTCTAGGGCAGTCATTTTTCTAATGAGATTTCACATTTTCTTCTATTTTTCGTTCTTTTCACTTTGATTGTTTCTTGATGCCCAATGGCGTTATTAGCTTCTACTTGCCCATTTCTAATTTTCTTTCTTTCTTTCTTTCTTTCTTTCTTTCTTTCTTTCTTTCTTTCTTTCTTTTTTCTTTCTTTCTTTCTCTCCCTATTTTTAAGTTATTTTCTTCAGTGTTTTTTTTAATGTGTGCCTCTTTTTACCAAGCTATTAATTTTTAAATAATTTTCTTGTATCGTTTCTTTTTCCAATTTTTTTCCTGCCACTCTTCTTTGTTTTTTAAAATCATGTTTTTGGTCTTTTTTTTTAGTTCTAGGAATTCTTGTTGGGCTTGTGTCCAATCTGCATTTTTGACTTGAGGTTTTGCTTGTTGCTGTTTTTACACTGTCTTCTGAGTTTGTGTCTTGATCTTCCCTGTCACTATAGTAACTTTTTAATTTGCAAGTTCTTATTATGTTATTTGCTCATTTTGTAAGCCTGTTTCTTGACTTTGAACTTTATGTTAAAATTGGTCACTGCTCACCTTGGGGGGAGAGGGGGCAGCGGGAATGTTTCAAGCTGCAGACTTTTTGGTCCTGTTGTATTCACCACTAGTTCTAGGGGTCTAAAAATTTTCAGTGCTTCCAAGGTAGTATGCTTCAGGAAGAGAGAGGTGTGGTCACTACTCTCCTTGTCTGCCCTCTGATCTTTACCGAGGTAAAGGCTCTGCTGTATTGCACCTGCTAACACTCCTTTCCACCTAGGAACTGTGATCAGGTCCCTGCTCCCTTTTGTCCACAGGTACTCTTCTCTCCCTGGAACTGTGACACTGTATTGGGTATGGGCATTGAAGTTTCCAAACAGCTCCTGGTCCTGCACCCAATGTGAGCACAGGGATTCCGTCTAATCTCTTTACCATGTCTGGCTGCCATGTGATTTCCAAGCTGGCCCTGACTGCAATGTCATGGACCTTTCTTGCTGACCTCTTAAGTTGTTTGGGCTGCAAAAATGTCTTACTCTGACTTTTTGTTGGCTCTGCACTCCAGAATTTGATTTGGCGCATTATTTTAAAATTGTTTGGAGGGAGTGTTGGGAGGGTTTTGCTGGAATGCTTCCTTTATTCTGCCATCTTGGTTCCCAGACATTTCAGACATTTTTTTGCTAGTGGGTTGCAGCAGGTTGTTTTGGGATTATCCTGTCTGATAGTTTGTGTGCTTGCCTTTAAATATACTTTTGCTTGTCAGTGGCTAAACAGTTGTCACCAGAGTGATTCTGAACCTTTACGTTTTATTTCTATCCAATGTCTAAAAATCAAACAAATAAAAAGCTAGACAGACCACTGTTAATTAAATCCTTTTTCTGTGATGACAACTTTCAGGTTGAGCTGTGAAAAGCCTGTTTTCTAGTCATTGGCTTATTTTAAGTTTAACTTTTTTTTTAAACAAAATCTGAAACAAGATAAATCATGGATTTACCCAGTCGCCTTTTCTTTTTCTTCTAGACAGTAGAATAGCAGTCATGCTAGAAGACAAAGGTCCGAGAGTAATTGACTACTTTGTAGTGGCAGGCCTCACTGATACATCTACCATTTTGGATCAAGAAATAAACCGTTTAGACACAAAATCAACTGGACCCAAAGCTCCAATTACAGACATTGCTGTTATTATCAAGTCAGCAGGGGAAACAGTCCCTGAAGGTTTCACCTGTGTTGAAGCTACTCCATCAGCTCTCCAAGCAAATTTGAATTATGGAAGTTTGAAAAGTCCAGAGCTTTTCCTGTGCTACAAGAGAGGAAGAGACAAACCACCTCTCACAGACATTGGGTGAGTTATTTATTATTTATCTAGTAAATATAAACTTAAATGATTTTATGATATTGTTATGTGCTTTGGTGGTAGTCTGAAAAAATGGATTTTCAGTTGACTAAGGTTAATAGGAGAAATTATTAAATACTTCTTGCAGTGTTATTTATTTGAATTGCATTTTAGAACCAAATGAGTAAAATACCACATTTCTCTACCAAATTTTATTCTCTTTCTTTTATTTTCTGTTTTGGTCATTAAACTATTGTCTGTCTTTGTGATGAGTAATGTTATTGAAATAGGAAATGTGATTCCTTTCTTGGTAGTAGTCACCAGACTTTTAGGCCAAAAAGGATAACAAGTATTCATTGAATGTGAAGAAACCAGAAGCTCTGATAACTAACATTATATCTTGAAGGAGATGCTTAAGTTGATTGCAGTTCATTGATGCATGTGTCACCTGTTATGTGTAAGGTATTATCCTGGGTGTTAGGACAGAGACAAAAATGAAGTCATCACAGCCTTAAGACACTTAGATTTTAGGGGGGGGATGAAGGAATGTGACACGTACTCAAGTAAGTAATGGATGTTAGAGACATAGTGAAAGCCCTGAATTCACTTATCAGAAGTAACCTTTTGAAAAATGGTATTTTTGCATGTGATCTGTTTGGCGCTTGGGATTAAATCAGTCACAGCATCTTAAGAATTAGAAGGGAACACGATTATCATCTAGGCTAGTCTGAATAAGAATTCTCTTTACAACATACCTAAAGAGTGATTATTCAGCCTCTGCTTGAAGAGTCCAAGTGAGAGAAAAACCTACTATTTCCCCAGGCAACACATTTCACTTTTGGATAACTCTTATTGTTAAGAAATTTTTCTCTTACATCAAACCTCAGTCATTGTTATGAGTTATGCCCACAAGGTCCAAGTAGAAGAACTCTAATCCCTCTTTTGGTGATATAGCTTTTCAGATACAGTTACCTATCATATTGTCCCTCCAAGTTTTGCTTCTTCAGGCTGGAAATACCCTCAGATTCCTTCTGCCTTTTTTTTTTAAAGTGAGGCAATTGGGGTTAAGTGACTTGCCCAGAGTCACACAGCTGGGAAGTATTATGTGTCTGAGGTCGGATTTGAACTCAGGTCCTTCTGACCCCAAGGCCAGTGTTCTATCCACTGTGCCACCTAGCTGCCCCTCCACTTTTCACATAGCATAGTCCCGGGTTCTTAATTGTCTCACTTTTCTTTGGAAACTCTGGCTTCTCAGTGTCCTTCCCAAACTGTGATATTCAGAGGTGAACATACACTATACTTAGGGATCCATCAGATCAGAGTACAGTAGAGCTATTGTTTCTCTAGGTCTGGACACTATATTCCTTTTAATATAACCTAAGATATTAATAGCTTCTTTTTGACTGCCATGTTGCAGCCAACCACAGTGAGCTTATAACCCACTAAAACTCCCCAGCTCTTTTTCAGATAAACTTCCATTTAGCCATACGTCTCCTATCTTACACTTGTGAAACTGGTTATGTTGCATCTAAGCATTTGACTTCTCATTTATCTTTATTAAATTTCATCTTATTAACTTAGGCCTAACATTGTAGCTTGTCAAGATCTTTTTGGATCCTGTCATCTTGTTTATTAGCTGTTCTTCCCACCTTTATGTTATCTGCAAAATGGGTAAATATGTCATCAATGTTTTATTCATGTCATTGATAAACGTGTTAAAACAGGATAGTACCGAGGACAGATCCCTGCTGCACTTTACTAGAGACATCCTTCTAGGTAATTCTTACTGACTACTCTTGAGGTTCAGCCATTCAACTAGTACTCAATTCACCTAATTAATTGTACATTTGTCTAGCTCACATCTCCTTGTATTTTTCATGTTTCTACAAGGTTTTATCTCACATTCAAACAGGCAAATATCATAAAAGTCAGTGTTGGAGGGGGTAATAGAATATGGTCAAAATGATCCATTCAATACTGACAGTGTTGCGAACTGATCTGATCATTGTGAAAATAATTTAGAATTATACAAAGTAACTAAGCTGGATATCATACTTTCATTAGAGGGTATGGTGCTAACATTTTTCCCCATTCTACAATTTCATTTCTTCTGGTTGCATTGATTTTGAATATATAAATGCTTTTTAATTTGATACAATGAAAATGATCTTTTTAAAATTAATTTGTTTTGATTTATCAACAATCACTTCCATAAGATTTTGAGTTTTAAATTTTTCTCCCTCTCCCTCCACACCTCCCTTCCCAAGATGGCATGCAGTCTGATATAGGCTATACATATACATTCCTATTAAATAATATTTTCACATTAGTGATGTTGTAAGTAAGGATTAGAACCAATAGAAGGAACCACCAGAAAGAAGAGACAAAACACAACAGAAACAAAAAAAAAAGAGCAAATAGTATGCTTTGATCTGCATTCAGACTCCATCGTTCTTTCTTTGGATGTGGATAGCATTTTCCATCATTAGGCCTTTGGAGATGTCTTAGATCCTTGTGTTGCTGAGAAAGAATGATTTTTTTTTATCAGACAACCATTTATTAATCATTTTGTGTGGGTCTAGATTCTGTGCTAGGAATATAGAGACACAAATGAAGCAATTCTTGTCCTCAAGGAGCTCACATTTTTCAGGAGAAACAATATGAGCAACTAAAAAGTATATACAAATTGTATATGAATCTAGGGAGCTATAATCTCAAAGATTTGGATGTCCCCTCCGTGTTGCAACTCGTTCATGCCTGCCCTTCCTATGTGAATCTTGTCTCTGAATCTTGTCAATGTTGTCACATAAGTTTACTATGCAAGGTCTATACAGTGTGAATTTGATTGAGTGGTACAAATAAATAGTATAAATCTCAAAGGACAAGTTATTGAGTGATGGCGGTAGGGAGAGAATCTTGAAGTGGCATTAGGGAGCCAGGATTATTCCAACTTCCCCTCCTTGATCAGTGAGCAAAGGAGAATGAGTAAAGGTGTAACTATTGTTCTCAGAAGGGAGACCAGGGAGGCTGTGTGATCCGGAGGAGCAAGGTTTCATTGATTGCCAGAAGATGAAAAGAATAGAAAAGGTAATGACTTAGAATGAAATGGAATTTTTTTAATTGTGGGACAGGTGTTCCAGGGGGGCAGCATGGAGGGAATTCATGGAGTTTGGTTGGGATTTGGGGTGAGAGGGTTAAGGAGGATAGAGAATGGCATTTACATGATTGTCTACAGAGGTTCAGAATCACTAAGGTGTTTAGGGAAAAACCAGCTGTGACAATGTTCATAGAGTAGAGGCACCACTCCTCACAGAAAAGGCTTGAAATCAGGCAGGAAGCCAGCACACACAATCAGGTGGTCTGTCAGATGAGAGGCCCTGTTTCACTGCTCCTTTTCCCTTCCAAGGTTGGAGATTAGGCAGGAACAGGAGATAGTATTTGAACCTGCACAGTCACAGAGTAAACTTCCAGGGTGAGTCTGCTGCTGTGTCATGGTGGAGAAAAGTCCAGAGAGTAAGGAGCTGCTTAAAGAGAAGAATAAAAGAGCTCTGGGTTTAACTGATGGCTCATTTGTACTGTTTTATCTTAGATGATGATACTGAAGGAAAAGCTCTATGGGTTATCCATCTTAAATGCCTGTCAGTCAGTAAGCATTTATTAAATGCTTGCTGTTTGCCAGGCAGCATGCTAAGCACTGGGAATACAAGTACAAAAAAAAAAAGTCAGTCCTTTAGGGAAGGCCATGCATAAAAAGAAACTAAAAAGCTGAGGGAGGTGGGAAGGAGGTACTCCACAGAAGTGTAGCCTCGTCAGAAATAAAGAAATGGCTGGTCTGAGTTCTTTCATTAAATGGGAGTTCTGAGAAGAGCCCCCCAAATAGAGGAGAGAGGGTACTTCTGCAGTAAGTTCCAGGACTAAAGTGATCTTCCAAGATGAAGAGGGTTCTAGAGCATGGTGAAAAAGTCCAGAGTGCATCCTGGTAGAAAATGGAGAGATGGCTGGTCTGGGCACTCTCTTTAGATGTTATAATTGGAGTAATCAACATTCTTCACTTGGTCTTTATTGTTTGGATGATGAGGCCAGAATATTTTGAATAGTTACAGCTTTCTTCCAGGACCCTCTTCAGTGTTTAGGATAATGTCATCTCCAACAAGAGCATCTGGATGGATTCACCATGCCCATAGGAATCTTTGTTAAACTTGGATTTGTGTATTGAATTTTCTCCATCAAAGTGATCAACTATTTGCAAACATAATAAACTTTTTTCTGAGGTAGGGGAGTGAGATGAGGAGGGGTAACCTGTTTGTGATCATAAAGTTTTTTGAACAGGTTTCTTTTTAATATATCTTTCTAAGAATCTTAAGTTGCTTTAATATTATCATTTCTTAACAAACATCAACAGAGAAACTTTTCCACATATAAAGAACAGAAAAAGAGGGTTACCCATAAAACTGAATCTTTACTATTTATAAACCTGTTAATTTCAAATTTAAAAAGACAGTACCAGCACTTTTCTGTCCAGCTTGTCTTTGTCCATTCTGAACTTCCTTTTGCTCCTTTGTGTGTATTTTTATAATATCATTGGGACTCTTCTTTAATCACCATCACTATTGCTCTTCCTTGTAAAAAAAAATAAGTATAGTTAAGCAAAACACATTTATACGTTTGTGGGATCTGAAAATGTATGTCTTATTGCTTACCTCTTTCTGTCACCTCCCTTCCAAGAAATCTATTATATTCATATGAAATGATTTATCCAGCCATTCCTGAATTAATGGGCACCCACTTTATTTCCAATTCTTTTCTATGAAAACATTAGCATGTAAATAATTCATTTTCACATAGCCCTTTCTAGCTGACCAAATGTGTGTACCTTTCTGTGTTATCTAGATATCTCTTTGGAAATCTCCATCAAAAGGAGAGCAGCTAATAACTTCCTGAATTGCCTTAATGGTTATTTCATCCTTCAGAAGGCAGAGTAGCAAAAAGAGATTGATTGCTTACTGGATCTTATTCTCCCCAACAAGGCAGAACTGATTGTTGAAGTAAAAATGATGGGAATCTTGAGGGAAGTGACCATTCCTTTCAAGAGTTTGTGATACAATAGGAAGGGAAGACCTTTCCTATTGTGTCTTAATTTCCTGCTGTGTCCTAATGTACCCTAAATTTTGAGAAAACAAATTTAAAGGGTTTAGAGAAAGGACAGTTAGGATCCTATGTAAAATTTTACAGAGGAAATCAGCAGTATCTGACTCATAAGTAAACACTCAGTGTTTGTCAGTTGACTAGGTTTGATATTTGTTAAATTCCTGTGGTTCCCTATTGCCTCCAGAAGGAAATACAAAATATTCTGTTTAGCATTCAAAGTCCTGCATAACCTAGCCCCTACCTTTTCAGTCTTCTTACACCTTACTCTCCAACAGGTACTCTTCAACCCAATGATGCTGGCCTCCCAGCTATTCCATGAGCAAGACTATTTATCTCTTGGCTTCCAGGACTTTTTCTGTCTGTTCCCCATGCCTGGAACATTCTGCACTCTCCCACCTCAGTTCAACCTGCTTCCTTCTCTGGCTTCTTTAAACTCAACTAAAATCCCTTCTTCTATACGAAGCCTTTCCCAACTTCTCTTAATTCTAGTGCATCTTGTATCTTAATTATTTCCAATTTATCCTATTGATATATTTTTTGAACACTGATGTTTTCATGTTGTCTCCCCCATTAGACTGTGAGCTTCTAAAGGGTGGGAGTTTCTTTTACCTCTTTTTTGTAAACCCAGAACTTACTGAGTGCTGGGTACAAGTGGGTGCCAGGATTATAATCCAGTCTAACAAATGGTTAAATTCTTTATATATGTATATATGGAACTGCACATAAAAAAAGCTCCTCAAGGACCTTAGGTTTTCCTTGGGAGAGACAACATTAAATGGATAAAGATAAATATGACAGTTTGAGGAAGGAGAGGGGACATTAAGATAAGCTGTTGGAAAAGGTGGTTTTTGACCTTAGCCTTAAAGGAAAAAACTAGGGATTGTACCAGATGAAGACAAAAAAGGAGTATTCCAGGCATGAGAGGTAGCCTCTGTGAAAACCAGAGGTAGGAGATAACGATGTTGACTTTGAGAAAAGCAGGTAGATCTTTTTGCCTGGAAAGTACAATAATGAGCCTGGTATATGGCCAAGTTGTGAAGGTTTTAATTGTTTAATTATTAACCTCTGAAGCTTTTATTTTTCTCCTTGAGCTAGTAGATGACCACTAGAGGTTTTGAGCTGGAGAATGACATACATTGTTTGACTTTTGCTTTAGGACAGTGGGTCTCAAAAGTGTGATTCAGTGACCTCTGGGAATGCCCAAGACCCTTTCAAGAGGGACATAAAGTCAAAACTATTTTCCTAATAATACTAAAATTTTTAAAATTTCTAATATGATAAATATCAATAGGTATAAAGGTTTTCGATAATTTTTTAGGAGTGTAAATGGATCTTGATTCCAAAAAGCTTGAGACCCACTCTTTTTTTTAACCTTTTTTTTTTTTTTATGAGGCAATTGGGATTAACTGACTTGCCTAGAGTCACACAGCTAGTTAGTATTATGTGTCTGAGGTCAGATTTGAACTCAGGTCTTCTTGACTCCAGGGCCGATGCTCTATCCACTGTACAACCTAGCTGCCCCAAGAGCAGCTCTTTTAGGAAGATTATTTTGACAGCTATCAGAGAAGATATATCAGAGAAGAGAGAGGCTGAAAACTGGGGATCCATTTCGGAGACTCTTTTGATATTTCAAGGGAAGAAGTGAATAAGGGTGTTGGCCATGTGAAGAAGGACAGATGTGAGAGATATTAGAAAGGAAGGGACAGATAAGTGATATTGTCAAGGTAAAATTGTCAGGGATTGGCAACAGATGGATTATTGAAGATGAGAGGGAAAAGGAAGAGTTAAAGCAAACTGAAGTTTTTTAACAGGAGCCAAGAGAAATAAATAAGGAAATTTAGAGGAGAGATAGACTTAGTTGGTACAGGGAGGGATGGTGGGGAAGAGAATGAGCTTCATTTTGGTATGTTGAACTTGAGATGTCTATAGTACCTTGATTTGGCTATATCCAATAGGCTGCTGATAAGACTGGAGGGTGTGTGTGTGTCTGTGTCTGTGTCTGTGTCTGACAGACAGAGAGGTATGCCCATGGGAACACGGTTTTCAGCTTTAGTTACTGAGTTCATTTGAACATACAATTTAAAAATATTTCTGAGTTAATCTTTTGAACCATTTTTATTACCTTTTAAAATTCTTTCCTAGCATTTGAGATATTAATCAAAATTCCATTGATCCAGACGCTTATACTTGGTTTTAGTTTGCAATTTCAGTTAAGAAACAACTTGTGCATCTGTGTAGGCAAATAATAAAAGGTAAATATAATTTTCCTCCTTTCTATTACAGAGTATTATATGAAGGGAAAGAACGACTTATTTCAGGTTGTGAAGTGATCCAAGCCACACCCTATGGTCGCTGTGCCAACGTCAACAATAGTTCAACAAATTCACAAAGAATCTTTATCACTTATCGAAGGGCTCCTCCAATACGACCTCAGAATTCCTTGGCAGTAACAGATATCTGTGTTATTGTAACTAGTAAAGGAGAAACTCCTCCTCATACATTTTGCAAAGTTGACAAGAATTTAAACTGTGGAATGGTAAGAAAAAACTTGGTTGATATACAAGTTGTATTTTTACAAAAAAGGGGGGACATAGTATTGGAAGACTTGGGGGTACAAAAATCCTCTTCTCCGTGCATTTTACTTTATATTATATTCAGCTTTTAAATTTTTACTATTTTTGGTCATGTTACCACTTAAAGGGTCTGTCTTCTAAGTAAACTGAGTAATCTCAATTGTTGGCATTTCCTATATTGCCTAAATTACATTAACGCAAGGAAATTGTAGATTTGGTAGAGGTAGCAGAGGCTGAACAAGTAGCAGGAGAATTGTTTCAGGGAGTCTTCTCTGCTCCTCCCTCTCCCCAGTTTTAAGCATCAAAATGTTCTTTGAGAGCTCTCAAACCTCAATTTATAGTTGGGCTAGATTTCTAATGAATACTGGCTAGCCAGCCAAACACTTAATAAGAACAGCTTGAACAAGGAGGGCTTCTCCTCCAAACTTAACTTTTTATTGGTGACTCCAGTCTCTGTGTTTTCTTCTTTGGGTACTCTCTGATTATACCAGTTCCTTAAGGTTCTGACCTCAAATGTTTATTTCTCCAACCTTCAAATTAGGTCATTTTGAGGGAAGTGGAATTTGTATACATTTTCCCACTTCCTTTCCCCCCAGTTAGAATTTTCACTTTTGTGTGTTGTTATTTTAAGTTTGGTAGTCTTGGTGTTTACATGTACGTGATTTTGAAATCGCTACTCTGACATCATAACTAGGATTTCTAGAACATCTAATAAATTCTGAATTTGTTTTTCTGCTATTTGATTTTTGTGAAATTGAACTTATGTTTTATAGTGGGGTTCCAATGTGTATCTGTGTTACAAGAAGTCTGTACCTGCTTCTAATTCAATAGCATATAAAGCTGGTAAGTTATTTTTAAACTGTCCCTTTAGTATGTTTATTGGCACACATTAATATCTCAGCACAAGAGAAATGTTTCCTCATCAAATGATCCTTTGTATTATGTTTTTTGTTTGAAATAATGCTTAAAAAATAAAAGTCTCTACAGAGTACATTAAACATTTTCTTCTTAAATGTTTATTAAATAAGATCTTTCATAGTGAGACTGTGTGGTTAAAGTCTTGGTTTTTTCCTACTTCATTAAATTAAAATATCTATCTTTTTGTGCAAATTGAGAATTGTTTATTGTCATATTGTATTTTGGAGGTCAGCTTATAATTTTACTCCTTATGTTTATTTCTTTGATTTGTAACCATACTTTTATTTTCCATAAAAAATAGATTTCCTTTCTTCCATTATAAACCACCCCAGCCATTGGAGCGGGGTCAAGGGAGAGATGGGGTGGGAATAATGGCTTGAGAAACTTTTCCACCAAGAAGTAATTAAAACATCTCTCAGTGTTGTATTAACTATATAATGAAATGTCGTGGCTTGTAAAGATTTTTAAAATGTAACTTCTCTTTCCCATTGACATCATGAGATTAGAACAGAAAATACAGTTATGATCCAGTTGCAAAATAGAACAAATTCAAACTATCGTATGGTGAAAAGAAGTAATCATATCATTGAGTATGCACGATTCTTTCAGAAAATAGTATTAAAGATCAAACTAGTTCATATGATTGAGAAAAAAAGTAAATTTTTCAGGTAGCAGTTAATATTCATATTGATGTGATTTTTATTTTAATTCTTAACTTTAATTCTTAAACTGTTCTCTCTTTACCTTGATTATTATTAGGCTTTCTTTTACCTTTAAAAAACAACTGCATTTTAAAAATTAACCTCATAAACCTACTTTATGTTCAGATTTCAAGAGCAAAACCATATTAGAATCTAGGCTTTTGTTGCTGTATTTTTAAAAATTTTAATGCCAGGAAAATCTTTAATGAGTCAGTAGCAAGTTGTTGTCTAGCTCTTGGCCTTTAGATATACCAGGCCTCACGAAGAGATTTTGTATTAGATATTCTGAAGGTTACTAGTGATAACAGCAGGGTAGGAGGAAATGGCCGCTATTCAGTCTGTGATGTTTTCTTCCCCGACTGCTCTGAAGCGTTCTGTGTTTGGTGCCCTTGTTTTTACACAATTTCTGTTTGAAGTTTTCCCAAATGAACTCAGAGGAGTGTCTAGCAGTGTTTATTTAATCTGGCTTCTGGTGGAGTAATTTTTCATTATCCTCCCCACCCAGGTTGGGGAGGAAAGGGCCATATGTATTTTGTACTCAACTAGGTGGAAAGTTTTTCTAAATATTTCCTACCATTCTTCCCTTTAGTAATAATATGCGGCTGTATTACTGTAAAATTTACTGGTTATCTGGGCCAGTGTCTTAAATGAATATGCAGTTAAGCAAAACAAATTCCCTTTTTTAAAAAATGGCTATGTCCAAAAAAGTTGGTATATGTTATTGAACTTTTCATTCGTGGTTAATAGGATGCTGAAGGGACTAATGCTAAATTTCTTAATTTTCATAAGTTAATTTGGTACTTGATTTTGATGTTTCGTATGTATACCTTTGTCTGAAGCTGTAGATCTGCTTTTCCTAAACTGAGTTTTGTACCCTTTAAAGATACTAATAATTTAAATTTGTTTTTTTACCTCCCCCCCAAAGGGTTAATTTTTAGATATCCAGAAGAAGACTATGAATCTTTTCCACTCTCAGAATCTGTACCTCTCTTCTGCCTTCCTATGGGAGCTACTATTGAATGCTGGGATCCCCAAACCAAATACCCACTTCCAGTTTTTTCAACTTTTGTTCTGACAGCTTCTTCTGCAGAAAAGGTATATATTAAAATAATAATCTTTGTTATAAAAGTTTTTCAAGATCTCAATTGATCTATTTTTTGTTTTCTTTTTGATTATTAATGTAGAAAATAAAAAGTACTTAATTTTTAAAATAAGCATTAATTTGGCCATATAGTGATTGACTTAGTTCATTACGTTATTAATGCAAATAAGATTGCATAGGAAGTATTTCAAGAGCTAAAAGAAGAAAGCTTTCTAGATTAGCACTTTAAAGCATCAATTTACATAGAGTTACTTATGTCAGGGTCCTGTGTTATTGTTTTTTTAAAATCAGTTTAAATACTCAGTCTTTGTTTACAGCTTATATAAGTCTTTTTGTGACTTAGTTGTTGAGAGTTGCTTTGGCTGATGTTACAGCTAATCAATGCCTAATTATAAATCAGTCATAGCTCTTCATAGAAGTTGACCTTCCAAGGATATATGCTTTATTTCTTTCAAGTTAGTTTCTCATCTAGTTGATCACCATAAATGTATAGCCACAAATTGTAAGCTTCATCAAGTACATGAAACCTTGCTAAAAAGTTTAAATTTTAATTTTCTAAAGTGAAATATTGAGAATTTCTGTGCAAAGTAATGTGTTCATCTGGTAGAATATGTTAGGTCAGTTGCTTTGCTTGGCATATTTAGTATTTTTTGAGGACTTTTGAATCTGGCAGATAGGAATGTAGGAAATGTGATAGGGTTTGTTCTCTGGTTCCCTTTTGAGGCTGATCAATTTTGTATCAAGTGTGTAGAGAAGCTATTTTAAGAGTTATCCAGTGATCAGTGCATTTTCTGATAATGTTTGCTAATTTATGGTGCTATTGTATTTCCAAAAAGCAAAATCAATTTTCTACTTTATGTAATTTTGCCATTAAAAAAAACTCATGCTCTCTTATTTTTACAGAGAAATCATGTGAGGTGTCATATTTGACAACAGAATTATTGTGTGATGGTATCTGTGATTTTGTAGGACTAAAACATTTGCAGAAAATTAGATTATATAGAACATAAGTAGAATTTAAATTTGCTGCTTCTTGTGAAATTTCCTTCTGGTTACCTGTGAAAATTCTATAGAATTCAGTGTCATATGCTAGAACTATGTAATAAATAATAATCCAATAAAGTGTTACTTTGTTGTTCCATTGTTGTGTAGGTTTAGGTCCTGACTCTGAAACTTATCAACTGTGTGCCCATAGTTAACTATATTAACCTCTCTGGGCCTGACTTTTTTCCTCTGCAAAGTGAGGTAGTTGGATAAGAATAGATGGCCTCTCAGGTCTCTTGAAAGGTACAGATTAGACATACAAATTTTTGGCTTTAATGTACTTTATTATTTACAAAAGAAGACTTTTATTTAGGTTTATGGTGATGGAGAAAGTTAGGCAATGGTAATAGCATTGCCTTTCTTCCCTGCCTCCCTGCCCTTCCACCCCCCCAAAAAAGGGAAAAATAAAGAATAGTGTCAATGTAATTTTTTTACAAATATAAAATAGTACCCAAAGACCTTCATAAGGGACACAGACAAAGCTGGATGGTATTGTTACTGTCATGTTAAATTTATTATTATAGTCTCTATGCAATACAGAGTCAGAATTTCATATGTACGGTCCCTCTTTGTTCTCGTACATAGAAATGTTCATGCTTGTTGATGTTTATCAGATTCATAATGGAGAAAATTTATTTTTAAAAAGGGAACACATAGACAATATTCTACAGTGTGCCATATCTTTACAATCACATAATTGACTGCATGACACAAAGTATAGAATACCCCAATCAGCTTATTGTGAGGATCTAAATAAGTTAAAATGCCACCTTAATGTCATTCCTCTGATAACGTATTTCACATGTGTATGTTAAAATTGCTTAGGAGAGGCAACAAAAGAGAGAACTTTTTTTATGATCCTTTGACTTATTAATGTGAATGTGAAGATGTAATATTGTATGCCCCATAAAGGAGTTGGACACTTCCTGGAAGATGTCCAGCACAGAGTCTAAATGGAAGATAGAATCCCTGTAGATTGCTTCTGTTGGCACATGATACTATGTTAATTGCATCAAGCCCTGGGACATTGCATAATCTTCCAAAAGAGGTAGAAATCATGCTCATTCAAGAGTTAACATGTACCTGTCCATAGGAAAATCCCAGTGGATGAAGAAAGTCTATTTTCTTTCTTTTTTTTCATTTGGAAGATTTTTAAAATTAATTTATTTATTTTTAGTTTTCAACATTTACTTCCACTAGATTTTGAGTTCCAAATTTTCTCTCCATCTTGTCCCTCCCCGCACCCTAAGATGGCATGCATTCTGAATACCCCTTCCCCTAATCTGCCCTCCCTTCTATCTCCTCTGCTCCCCTCTTATCCCCTTCCCTTTCTGTTTTCCTGTAGGGTGGGATAGATTTCTGTACCCCATTGCCTGTATATCTTATTTCCCAGTTGCATGTGAAAACAGTTTTTTAACATTTGTTTTTAAAATTTGGGGTTCTAAATTTTCTCCCTTCCTCCCTCCCCACCCACCCTCATTGAGAAGGCAAGGAACTCGATACAGTTTATACGTGTGTAGTCATGCAAAACACTTCATAGTAGTCATGCTGTGGAAAACTAACTCTGTTTCCCTTCATCCTATCCCGGCCCCCATTTATTCTATTCTCTCTTTTGACCCTGTCACTCCTGAGAAGTGTTTGCTTCTGATTACCCCCTCCCCCAATCTGCCCTCCCCTTTCTCATCCTCCCATACCCCCCCCACTTTTTTATCCCCTTCACCCCTGTTTTCCTGTAGCGTAAGATAGATTTTCATGCCTAATCGAGTGTGTATGTTATTCCCTCCTTAAGCCCAATCCTATGAGAATAAGATTCACCTCCCCCTACCCCCCAGCAACTTCCCCTCCTGTAAAAGCCTTTTCTTATCTGTTTTATTTGTTTTATGCGAGATAATTTACCCCATTCTGCCTCTTCCATGCTCCTTCTCCCAGTATAATGCTCTCTTACCCCTTAATTTTATTCTCCAGATATCACCCCTTCATCTTCAACTCACCCTGTGCCTGCCCTTCCTCTCCCCCCCCATTTATAAATATAATATTTTTCCCCTCTAACTACCCTAATACTGAAAAACGTCTCATGAGTTACAAATATCATCTTTCCATGCAGGAATGTAAGCAGTTAAACTTTAATAAGTCTCTTATAATTTCTCTTTCCTTTTTTCCTTTTCATGCTTCTCTTGAGTCTTGTATTTGAAAGTTGAATTTTCTATTCAGCTCTGTCCTTGAAATGCTTGAAAGTCCTCTGTTTCACTGAATTTCCACTTTTTCCCCTGAAGGATTATACTTAGTTTTGGGGGTAGGTGATTCTTTGCTGTAATCCTATCTCTTTTGCCCTCTGGAATATCATATTCCAGATCCTCTGGTCCCTTAATGTAGAAGCTGCTAAATCTTGTGTTATCCTAATTGTGTTTCCACAGTACTTGAATTGTTTCTTACTGGCTACTTGCAATATCTTCTCCTTGACTTGGGAGCTCTGGAATTTGGCTACAGTATTCCTAGGAGTTTTCCTTTGGGGATCTCTTTCAGGAGGTGATTGGTAGATTCTTTCAATTTCTATTTTGCCCTCTGGTTCTAAATATCAGGGCAGTTTTCCTTGATGATAATTTCTTGAAAGATGATGTCTAGGCTCTTTTTTTGATCATGGCTTTCAGGTAGTCCAGTAATTTTTAAATTATCTCTCCTGGATCTATTTTCCAGGTCAGTTGTTTTTCTGATGAGATATTTCACATTGTTTTCTAATTTTTCATTCTTTTGGTTTTGTTTTACAATGCCTTGATTTCTCAAAGTCAGTAGCTTCCAGTTGCTTCATGCTAATTTTTAAGGATGTTTTTTCTTCAGTTGGCTTTTTTCCATTTGGCCAATTTCTGCTTTTAGGCATTCTTTCCTCATTGGCTTTTTGGACCTCTTTTGCCATTTGGGTTAGGCTATTTTTTAAGGTGTTATTTTCTTCAGTATTTTTTTGGGTCTCCTTTAGCAAGCTGTTGACTTGTTTTTCATGATTTTCTTGCATCACTCTCATTTCTCTTCCCAGTTTTTCCTCTACTTCTCTTACTTGCTTCTCAAAATACTTTTTGAGCTTTTCCGGGCCCTGGGACCAATTCATTTTTCTTGGAGGCTTTGGATGTGGGAGCTTTGACTTTGTTGTCTTCTTCTGGTTGTATGTTTTGTTCTTTGTCACCAAAGAAAGATTCTGTAGTCTGACTTTTTTTGTGAAGTTTGCTCATGATCCTAGCCAATTATTTGACTTTTAAACTCTTTGTTAAGTTAGGGGTCTGCTTCCAGTGTGGAGAATGTACTGTCCCAAGCTTTCGGGGTTTTGTGCAGCTGTTTTCAGAGATACTTCTAGGGACCTGTAAATTTTCAGTTCTTCCAAGGTGGTATGATCAAGGGCGAGGTGTTTACTTCTGTGCTGTGGTCTGTGAGTGACCACAGGCCCTCTTTTCTGCCTTGGAATTGTGAAGAGGATTCCCTTTCTACTGCCACCACAAGCTCCACCACTTCCATGCTCTTCCTTGCCCCAGGATTGCCACCCATTTCCGAGTGTGGGCAAAGCAAGAGAATTCTTCCTTAGCACCAGCAAAGAGATCCATGCAATCCCCTTCTGATCAGCCACTCAATTCCCCCTCCATCTGTGGGGCTGAGAGCTCCAGAAGCAGCCACTGCCCTGGGCTCCTCTCTCACCGCGGTCCAATAGACCTTTCCTACTGATCTTCTAAGTTGTCTTTGGTATTTGTGGGTTGACAAATCTGGAAAAGCTAGAGCTGCCCATGATTCAGTCCCCTGACTCCTGCTCCAGGTTCCCAGAGGCCTGGTCTTTGCCTGTGTGCCCACACTGAGCTGCATTCCTCTCCTAGCCTGGCGCAATAGACTTTTCCAATCAACCATCCAGGTTGTCTTGGGCTAGAAGTTTGTTTCACTCTGTCTTTTTGTGGGTTCGGCTGCTCTAGAATTTGTTTAGAGACATTTTTTATAGATATTTGGAGGGGTTTGGGGGAGAACTCAAGCAAGTCACTGCTTTTACTGTACCATCTTGACTCTGACCCGAAAATCTGTTTTCTAGACTGAGTGAATGCAGTTGATTAGGATTACTCATTATGCAGATCATTCATATCTTTGGGTTTTTTCTTAAATTAAAAAAATAAATTTATTACTTGTTTACAAATGTGGTTTTGAGTTCCACATTCTCTCCTTCCTGCCCCCACTCATTGAAAAGACAAGCAATGTGCTATCAATTGTGCATGTGAAATCATCAAAACATTTCCACATTAGCCATGTTGCAAAAAAGAAAAATAAATAAGTGAAAAAATTGTGGTTCAGACTACACTCAAAGTTCATCTGTTTCCTCTCTGGAGGTGGATAACATTTTTCATCATGAGTCGTTTGGAATTGTCCTGGATCATTGTCTTCAGAATAGCTAAATCTTTCACAGTTGATCATCATTACAATGTTGTTGTTACTATATAAGGTGTTCTTCTGATATTCTGCTCACTTCACTTTGCTTGAGTTCATATAAGGATTCCCAGGTTTTTTTTGAAACCATCTTGCTCATCGTTTTTTTTTTTTTTTTGTATTAACATTTTTATTTGAAGTTTTGAGTTCCAAATTGTATCCCTCCCTCATCTTCCAGCTCTGAGATGGTAAGCAGTCAGATGGAGGTTATACATATGCAATTATGTAAAATATTCCCATATTAGTCATTTTGCATAAGAAACTGGCGTAAAAGAAAAAAATGAAAGAAATGAAAATGGCATGTTTCAGTCTGTATTCAAACAATATCAGTTCTTTCTCGAGGCAAATAATACATTTCATGTTTAGGTCTTTGGGATTGTCTTGAATTATTGTGTTGCGGAGAATAGCAGTAGTTTATTCATAGTTCTTTATGAAACAGTATTGCTGTTTGTATACAACATTTTCTTAGTTCTGTTCACTGTACATCAGTTCATGTAAGTCTTTTCAGGTTTTTCTGAAATTATTCTGCTTGTAATTTTTTTTTTTAAGGCAGTTGGTGTTAAGTGACTTTCCCAGGTTCACACAGCTGGTAAGTGTCAAGTGTTTGGTCTGAGGCTGGATTTGAACTCAGGTCATCCTGACTTCAGGGCCAGTGCTTTATCCACTGCGCCGCCTATGTACCCCTGCTTGTAATTTTTTATAGCACAATAATATTCCATTACAATCATATATACACAGCTTGTTTAGCCATTCCCCAATTGATGAACATACCCTTGATTTTCAGTTCTTTGCTACCACAAAAAGAGCTGCTATAAGTATTTTTGTGCATATAGATTTTTTTCCTTTTTCTTTGTTCCCTTTGGGATATAGACCTAGTAGTGGTGTTGTTGAGTCAGAGGGTTTGCAGTTTTATAATTCTTTGGGCATAATTCCAAATTGTTCTGGAGAATGCTTGGACCAGTTTACTATTTTGCCAGCAGTACATTAATGTACCTATTTTTATATATCCTCTCCAGCATTTTTTCATTTTCCTTTTCTGTCGTGTTAGCCAATAATGGATATGAGTTAGTACCTCAGAGTTGTTTTAATTTGTATTTCTCTAATTATTAGTGATTTAGAATATTTTTTCATGTAACTGATAGTTTTGATTTCTTCTGAAACTGCCTGTTCATATCCTTTAACCATTTATCAGCTGGAGAATGGATCTTATTTTTATAAATTTTAGAAATTTGACTCAGTTCCATGTGTGTTTGAGAAATGAGTCCTTTTTTAGAGAAATGTGCTGTAAAATTGTAATTGAAAGGATTACTTAATGTGAAATTTCAATTTAGGTTTAGATCTCAAGATATAATAACACGTACTCAGTATAAACTTAACAGATAATCACATTTATTGTACAATGATTAATGGTACTTAAGGCAAAACACACACATAAAGATGAGAAAAACATTCAGTATAATAAGTAATCAAAATAAAGAAAAGGGGGAATAAGAAAAGAAGGAATACACACTCACTGACCAGGTGAGCTCAAGCACCTCGTAGGCTGGGGAGACTGAAGAATGGCCAAGAAATCTTGGTCAGGGAGGCAACGGGGTGGCATCCTGCTCTGACTCAGTAGAAGCCATGCACATATTCAACTTCTGACCACAACAGAGATTCGGCGTCCCTATCTCTGACATCAAAGTACTCCAAAAATCCCTTTCCAAATTACCCCTTTTATATCTATGTAAACTAGGGAAAGACAATCTTAATATTTTGTTTTGTGTACGTACCCTTAGTGAGCGCTCAAGTCCAAACACATATTCTAGCAAAAGTTGGGGCTTGATCAGAGCCCCAAATATCTGTTGTATAAATCTCCAAGGAGTGATCAATTCCTTGGACAGTTACATACCTTTCTCAAGAAAAATGTTCCTTGAGATGAATTGCTTTCCCAGTAACATAGTTTGTTGGTTATTTAATGTTCCATCTCTGTGGTCCTGGCCATTCATTGGTAACTACAATTTTATTTTTATGTCAGGTCATGAGGCAGTTACACCATTAGGTTATGAGATGGTTACACAGAGGGCTGGGGGGGAATCTATCCTCCTCAGTTTCCCTTACAAAAATTGTTTCCCAGTTCACTGCTTTTATTAATATTTTTGTTTTGTTTGTGCAAAACAAACTTTACATTTGATGTAATCAAAATTATCTGTTTTACCTCTTGTGGTCCTCTCTCATTCTTGTTTGGTCATAAACTTTTCCCTTTTCCATAGACCTATTGTGATATCACCCTTTATGTTTAAATCATGTATCCGTTTTGAGCTTATCGGAGTAAACTGTTTGAGATATTGGTCTATGCCTAGTTTCTGCCTGACTGTTTTCCATTTTTACCCATTTTTGTCGGATAGTGAATTCTTACCCCCAAAGCTTTGGATATTTGGGTTTATTTATCAGACACTTGATTTTTTTTTTAACTTTTTAGGCATTTGGGGTTAAGTGACTTGCCCAGGGTCACACAGCTAGTAAGTGTCAAGTGTTTGGTCTGAGGCCGGATTTGAACTCAGGTCCTCCTGAGTTCAGGGCCAGTGCTCTATCCACTGCGCCATCTAGCTGCCTCTATCAGACACTTGATTACTGGGATCATTTACTTCTGTATGTGTACTTAATCTATTCCATTGCAGGTCACCTAGGTGGCACCGAAGGTAGCATTAAGAATTTTGTCAAAATGACGTGCAACTAGAAAACGTTACTAGAACAAAGGAAAGGATAAGTCAAGAGACCTAGAAGAAGGGCTCAACACATTGCATTGCCTGGCAGGGGAGGGATTATAGGAATATATGAATGAGAGTCACAAAGAATGAGAAATTATAGAAGAGATTCTTTATGCATTTTCTGGAGTGAGTTCCACATCAAGTATTCAGCCCCTAGAAGTGCTTTGTTGTTATTTGTCAGTTCTTGAAGAGGACAGTGACAACAGGAAGGTGATGCCATGACTTGCAAGTGAATTGGATTTAAGTGAGGGAGGGCTGTGCAAAGTCACCAGCCCCACTTTCTCTTCTGGAGCTATCTGGATCCAGTGGCAAAATAGAGATCAGGACAACTGGAGATGGCCCTGTGGCTAATAATGGGAGATTTAACTATAGTGATAATACCTAGGAAAGTCCTGGCCTATTCCCAACCTCGGATTGTGAGATTTGGAGAGGGTTGATGCTACACTATGAGTCCTTCTACAGTTGTCAGGACACAAGGTTGATGATGGCGTCCTTGGCCTTCCTCTTCAATAATGAGGTGTTAAACAGTGAATTTTCTGGTGAGTAAAGGAATGAGTTGGCAGGCTTGCAAGATACTTGGCTGTTGTGCCCACTGAACCACTGGATCTTTCCATTTGCTCTGAAGCTCAGTCTTAAGATTGAGTAGGCTTTTCTGTCCATACTGAAGTTGAACACTCATATATTTATTGTCTCCCTCAACTAGAAATGTAAGCTTTTTTAGAGTGGAGACTTGATTTCTATTGTTTTTGTATGTTTGGCACTTAGCACAATGCTTGGCACGTAATATTTAATATATTTAAATTCATCTGTTTATCACAGTCCCACAAAAATCAGGAATATTATTTTTTCCAAAGATTTTTCTTTAAAAGTATGATTTTAAAAGGTGTTCCTTAAATAGGTTTTTTTTTTTATTTTAAGCCTACTGGATTAAAAATTTTCTCTGCACTACAACTCAGATAGATTATTTTTAGTAATGTCAATAGGAAAATAGTATTCCTTTAGATATTAGCTAGATATATCTTATGGAAGTATATTTGTACTGTATTAATTTTTGTTCTTTCTAGTTTATTTGTATTTTTAAAATTAATTATAAGTTGGGAATTATATAAATACAGAAGAATTTATAAAGTATATAAAGAGTATATAGCAATATAGAAGAGTATATAAAGAATATCCAAGCTGAGGTTAAAGCCATTTTTAAAAATTAACTTCATTTGAGAAAATACATTAGCTTATGTTAATAACCTCAAAGTTAATTATGTCCTTAGTAGGATGAATGTTCTGTTATCTTTCAGGTCTATGGTGCTGCTATCCAGTTTTATGAGCCATATTCTCGGGAGCTGCTAACAGAAAAGCAGCTTATGCAACTGGGCCTTTTGACACCTGTGGAAAGAAGAGTGGTCCCCAAATCCATCAATTCAAACAAATGCATATGTCTGCTCTCACGCTGGCCTTTCTTTGAAGCTTTTAGAAAATTTCTTATGTTTATCTACAAACTTTCAGTTTCTGGACCTCATCCTCTTCCCATTGAAAAGTATGTATGTCTTCAAGTGTCTTCGGTGAGGTTACTGATATTGAAAACATAGGAACTTAGGTGTATATATTTTATGTATGTGTATCTGTATAAATTTATGTTTCTTTGTTAATTTTCAGCACAGCAACTAAGCAGCATTAATCAGCATCATAAACTTGGTACTGAAAGGGATCTTAGTGGTCATCTCTCCATCTACCCTTCCACCTTCCCCCAAAAACTCATAGAGATCTTGATAAAAAAATGAAAAGAATGGGGCAGCTAGGTGGCACAGTAGGTAGAGCACCAGCCCTGGATTCAGGAGGAACTGAATTCAAAACTGGCCTTGGACACATAACACTTACTAGCTGTGTGACCCTGGGCAAGTCACTTAACCCCATAGCCTAACCAAAAAACAAAAAGTAGTAAAGCCTGAGAAGAACAGAGCTAGAAAGGAAAACCCATGCCCTGCTATATATGTATATACCTGTATTTTTATATATACTTCAGAATATATCTTCTGTAATATATATTTTCCATTGGTCTGTCTTCAGATAACAAAAGAGATGATTAATGAGTGGGAAAATTTTAACTATCGAGAAAGAAAATTCAGATTAGTAAGAGAATCATCAACATTACAGAAAAATACGATGTCTCATTGTGCCTTGTAATATACAGGCACAAATTTCTTGTCCTGAAATTTTATAGAGAGTATTAATGATAGGGGAAGTAGGGAAAACAAGTTAAAATTTGAACAACTTTGGTTAAGTTTATAGCATTGGCTAATCTACAAATTTCACCTATGATTCATATTCAAAACTTCTTTAATTTAGAAGTTTTCAATCACAGTAAATATAAAGATGTAATAGCTTTTCTTTAAAAATAAAATCTCTTTTGTTCTTCTTAGCATTTTGTATCTTGTTTTACACTATATTTGTAATTTATGTATCCTGTCTTACACCCTAGAAATATCTTTGGCTCTATTAAAGCTGTTATCATAAAGTCATTTTATATTTATGTTCTCTATAGTCTTTGAATGCTATTGTGTCTTCCAAGATGAGATAAAAATGTAATAGTGTACAGAGTAAAGTAGCACTTAACATTTATGCTCTAGAATCAGCTCGGCTACCCTGAAATTGATACAGGTGTGTGATACCAGCTTAGGCAGTGCATTGACATGGTATTAACTTAATAATTTCTTAATTTGCAATAAAATCATTACTTAAAAATTTAATCCTTTGTTAGATAATATTACTAATAATATCAGGAAATATACTTTTATGTCCTCATTTTCTTATTAAATTCTGATATGTTTAATGTAAGTGAATATTTGTACTGTACTGTTTAGTTTTCCTGTCACTAAGGAGGTAAATTTTCACATATCTGGGTTGCTTGGCGAAATTACCTTAGTTTCTCCAAGAATTTTAGTATGTGTTTTATGGGACCAAAATAGTCTTTATGCTCTGTTTTAAAGAAAAAAGTATATATTTAAGTCTCCTGATAATGTTCAAATGGAAAAAATTACTACAGCAATAATAAAATCTTTGGAATAAAACGTTGTACTTACCATTTAGAGAGTTTACAAGTAAATAGTTAGCCGTGTTTCTTAAAAATGATGAATTTGTATTTGCAGTAACAAAATCAATATATAGAGTAAAACTTGATCATTAATAGTAATGCTAGTGATAACCTTGATTCAGTGGATTTTTGTAGTTTCCTTTTTCCTGTAATAATTTAATAGCTATGATGTGAAATAAAATGTTTTGTCAAAAAAAAAAGTTAGTATTCTTGTTTTATAAGTAGAGAAATTGAGACAGAAGTTAAGTGGCTTGTACAAGATTATAGTAGTAAAGCCAGCACTAGAATCCAGGTCTTCTGACTCCAAGGTAACTTATCACTAAATCACACTGAATTAGATGCTCTTAGGCCACCATCCTCTTTAGCATCGTGGAAGCTATGAATCTACCTCTTTAAAGCATTGTATTCATGTCATCCATCTTTTTATGGAGAAGATTGGCTAGATTGCTAGAATAAAAGCATAAAATAACTTGAGGTTCCAAAAAATATCCTAGTTCTTTGGTTCCATAATTTTTCATTGACCTTTACAAAATCTTCTTTTAACAGTAATGCTGTTTTCAAGTGTTTCATCAGTTTGAATGGGTTCAAATTTATTTATATTAAGGACCATTTGAAATTTGAGGGAAGGGGGAGTTGCTGGGTGGGTCTGAAGGTTACCTTTCCATAATGAAATCTTCAATTTTTGCATAATTATTTTTAAGTATATTTTACTACATGATTGTTCATGAATATTTGTTGTTGAAAGAAACAACTCTTGACCCTGTGCCCACCTAAGACTATGAAACATAGAAATATAAATGAAAGCTAATATTTACTGTGTTTAGATAGAACTTGTCAAATTAACTAAATATGAGGGGGAAGTCTTATGTTTTGAATTTCTTTTCAGGCACATCTCACATTTCATGCAAAATATCCCTTTCCCATCACCACAAAGACCAAGAATTCTTGTTCAGGTAATAAAAAAAAGGGGTGTATTGCATGGGTGGGGGATGTTGGTGTGAAATACGGATTTCTGTTAACTTTCTTTTCTTTATTCAAGTTATTTCTTTGGTCAAATTCAAGGATTTACTGAACAAATGATATTTAGTCTTGCATCCAAAGCATCATAATGCTTTATCTCCTTTCTTATTTTTCTTTTACATATTTATTCTGTACTTTGTAAATGTGGGGTAGATACTACCCAGAATCAGCAAAAAACACAATTTTAAACTTGGTTTTTCAGTTTGGCTCTGTTGTGTGTGTGTGTGTGTGTGTGTGTGTGTGTGTGTGTGTGTGTGTGTACATGTATATACGATCTCATTGCACTTATGTTATGATTTAAACGTAGCTAAACAGAAAGTTTTCGTATCTGTTCTGACATAGGTATCATATTATTGTGTTATTTTGAATATTTAAATTCTTTGTTATTAGAGGCTGTATTGAATATTACATTTGGAATATATGGGCTATATTTTAAAAATAAATCCCTTTAGGTTTTATGAAGCATATTGAATCTCTTTCTCTTCTGTTGTTCTAAAATAGAAAGAAGCTATTAAAAATTAAAAAAATAACTTGTTGAGTTTCCTTATAAAGATTGTGCATGGTATGATAGTGAGAGTCAGTCTGTCAGTAATCCCATAGTTCTTCAAGGATTTATATATTTTGCATTCAGTGCTATTGCTTGAATTTGAGATGCTACAAGACTGTGTATACTTGACATCAAAACTATTTCTATAAAACAGAATTATAGTGGCACAGAATCTGACCTGGAAGGGATATCCAAGGAAGTTTCTTCCAAATGGTATCTAAACAAGAATGCCTTCTACCAGAGTAACGTACAATTATCCAGTTATCCAGTCTTCACTTAAAGATCTCTGGGGAGGGGTCTTCACTTAAAGATCTTCGGGGAGGGATACGCACAGATTCTGGAGTCATTCCATTCCACTTTTGCCTAGCTCTAAAATTGTTAGGATGATATTCCATCTATCAGGCCTAAATTTACCTTGTAGTATTTTCCATCTTTTTCTTCTGGTATTGGCATTTGGGGGCAAGCAGAATAGGTTAATCCCCTTCATGTGATAGCCCTTCAGATATTTGAAGGCTCTTCTTTTAGCCAGGTTGAATAGCCCCAGTTCTTTTTAACTGAGTCTTATATGACATGATTATATGGCATTGCACTGTCTTGGTCATGCTCCTCTGGACCTGCATAATCAGTGTTTTCACTAAAATATGGTGCCTGGGACTAAACTCAGTATGTGAGAAGTGCTCTGACCAGGGTAGAATATTAATAAGCATAACACTTTCTTTAAGTCCTGGGCAATATTCCTCTCAATGTAGTCTAACATGACATTAGTTTTTGGCTGTCACATCTTCACTGTTAAGTGTCTTTTTTTTTTTTAAGAATTGGATCAGTATTCTAATCTTTTGAGATTCTGACTCTGATATCCATTATGTAAACTATCCTGCCTGATTTTGTGTCATCTGCAGATTCAATGTATATTTAGTCTAAGTCATTGATAAAAATATTAAACATCACTGAGACAATCGGAGATTCTTGGAGCTCTGTAGTAGAGATTATTTTGCAATTGAATGTTTATTCTTTAGCTCCAAATGTACTTAATTACAATATAATCTAGCCCACACCTATCTCTGTTTTGTGTGTTAGAGTAGCATATGAGAAAGGAATTTTTATCATAAATTGCTAAATGTTCTGCTTTTATGTTTTTTGGTAATTAGATTTTTTTCTTTCAATTATTAAGCATTTATTTTTCTGCTACCTCTGGGAAGTGGGGGTGGGGGAATGTGAGGAAGGGGAATATAACAAATGTGTGTAGTCAGAGCAGAAACAAGTTGGCCAAGTCCAAGAGTGTGTCATTCTGCTTAGTCAGTCACCTCTCTCTTAGTTTCATTCTCATCTTTAGCACCCCAAACATTTTTTATTTTTATTTTATTTTTTTGCTTTTTGGTGAGGCAGTCGGGATTAAGTGACTTGCCCAGGGTCACACAGCTAGTAAGTGTAACCCAAACACTATTCTTATATTACAATGCCACATTTTCCTATTTATTCTCTGTTAACTAGGTTTCATGTGTCTTTTTTTTTGGGGGAGGCCATTGGGATTAGGTAACTTGCCCAGGGTCACACAGCTAGTAAGTGTTTGAGGTTAGATTTGAACTCAGGTCCTCCTGATTCCAGGGCACTAGTGCTCAATCCACTGGGCCACCTAGCTGCCTCCATGTCTTTTAAAAATTTCAGTTGTTTTTCTTTGTTACAAGATAAGGTTTAATGCATAAAACAAAACAGAAATTAGGTGACATTTATATAGTGCTTTAAGGTATTACCTGTCCTTGCTTTGAACCTTTTTGAAGTCTTCTCTCTGCAGATTTAGGGTATGTATCAGATTATGTTTAGCTTTCCTTTTCTCTTTCATAAGTTCTGTGATAGAATAGTTGCTTACTCATTGCTGAGAATTAGGTCCAGAACATACATTGCCCTCATTGCTTTCTCCATGAGTTGAAAGATGAGAGAATCGTTAAAGCCACTCAAGAAATTGTTGGCTGCTGTGCTTTAAATAGAGACAGAACTTCAACAGATGTCCAGATACTTTACATCTCTCATTCCTTGCTGTCCTTCTGTTATTCTTGTGATGTTTTTTCGACTTCTTAGCATGTTTCCTCTTTCTTTCCATATGGTCTCTAATATATTGTAATGAAAAATATTTCTTATGTTTGTGCTTCCACTTTTTCTATCAAAACACTTTCCACCATGCTTTCCTCTTTAGGTTCTTAGATTTTGCCATATAAGTATATCTTCTTTTTTAAAATAAATTTTTATTGATATCTTCTATTTCTTATATCATCACAGTTATTCCAGATATTCCACCATATATTTTTAGAAGTACAGAAAACATCAACACAACTGATTGATAACACTGAAAAATTCTGAAAACATGTGCAATGCATAGCATCTGTGGACATCCCACATTCACAAACTGTTAGGTTAGGAGTGTCTTTCTTAAGGACTGCTTGATCTTTATAATTTTGTTCCATTCACTTTTGATTTTTTTTGTTGTATGGTTCTTTTTATTTACGTTGCCTTAGTCATTCTGTATTGTTTTCTTGACTCTGTTTCCTTTACTCTGCATCTGTCAGTATAGGTCTTTGCAAACTTTTCTACACTTAACACATTTCTCATTTCTTACAGCATAGAATGCTGTTACATTCATGTACCACAGTTCGTTTAGCCATTCCCCAATTGATGGGCATCTACTTTGCTATAAATATTTTGGTGTATGAAGACATTTTTCAATGACTGCTTTAGGGGTATAAGCTCAGTAGTGGAATCTCTGGTTCAGATGTCATGGACATTTTAGTCATACTGCTAGCATAATTTCAAATTACTTTCCAAAATGCTTGCACCACTTCATAGATCCACCAACAATATATTAGTGTGTACTCATCGTTCCACAATTCTTCTAATATTGACAATTACCACGTTTTATCAACTTTGAGTATGTCTTCTTAATGTGCAATGATATTCTGTTCCTCTCCCTAGCCTCTCCTTACTAATTCTTTTCATTTAAATAAAATATATCCTTTTACAGTCATATTCTAGTTGTAGATCTAAATGATTGTACCAAATCATGGGTCCATTAGTATTGATTTAGAATGCTTATTTATCTGCAGTCCCTCTAGTACTGAATTTTTGCAATTTTTTTTTACTGTCTTTCCTAATTTGTTAAGTTTATGATATTGCATAGATTTTTTGAAATGTGCATGTTTAGGTTTTTAATTTGGTGGCCATATAATTTAGTAGTAATTTTTGATATTTTCTTTATGTCTTTCTGCATTTGTTGTTGTTCATTTAGTTAATGTATTTTTCTATTCTTAAAAATCAGTTTTGCTAAATTATTTTCAAGTTTTTACGTCTTTTAAACAATTCATTTTATTAATAACTTTCCATTTCGGTTTGTTTCTTGAATTTCCATAATCTGCATAGTGCTTGTTCTGCCATTTTCATTGATTTTCTGTTTTTAAATTTTAATTATTTTTAAAAAATTGACAAGCATGTAGTTTCTCTCTTTTATTTCCCCGTACTATTACAAACAAAAAAAGAAAACCCTTGTATCAAATATGCCTAGTCAAATAAAAGAAATTCCCACATTCCAAAAACGTGTGTCTCATTCTACATCTTGAGTCTGTTATCTTTTGCTTGGTCTGGAAATTGGCAGCATTCTTCATCAGTGGATTGTGATTGGTCATTGTGCTTATCTAAATTTGTCTTTTAAAGTTGTTTGTCTTTACAGAGTTGTTGTTACTATATAAATATATGATTCTGTCCACTTCCTTCTTCATCACTCAGTTCATATGAGTCTTTCTAGGGTTCTTTGAAGCCTCCTTAAAAAATTTTTTTTTCTTAAGGTATAATTATTATGTAATATATGAATATAATGGAAAGGGACTTTCTAGGTTTTTTAAAAATTGCATGCTTTGTCAGTCTTTTTTTCTGTTTTACTGATAGGCCTTCAGGTATGTAAATTTTTTTCGTAAGAACTATACTGGCTACCTTCACAATGTGGTATATTGTTTCATTATAATTCTCTTCAGTATACTTGTTAGTTACTATCATTTTTTTCTCTTACCTTCACTACTTAGGACAGCAGTTTTAATGTCTTTTAAACCTTCTATTATTGTTTTTTAATTATGATTTTTACTGCATTATAATTGGTAAAGGCAGTATTTAATGATTTCTGCCTTACTGTGTTAATTTGAATTCTTTGTTCCTTAACATATGATCCATTTTTTAAAATAAATTCCATGGACCCCTTGCATGTGAACATTTTCTGATTTCCATTCTGAAGATGCCTTCTGTTACCTTAAAAGTCTGTAATTTCTGTCTTGTTTATCTTTGTTGTATTTGTCAAACTGAGTACACACTGTTACGGTCAACTTTAATTAGCATCTTACTATTTAGATCTTTTTTTGTTTGTTTTGTTCCAGTCTTTTAAGACTTAGGCTACTCTGCTATTCACTGCATCTGTATTTCCTACTGAAATTGTTTAATTATCTTAGGTCCCTTTAATCACATGTAGTTTCATTGTCTTTCCCAATGTTATTGGTTTGCCATTATGAAATTATGATTTGGATTTAGGCTTTTCAGGGGTCATATGAAGCCTGAATAGTTTTAATTCCAGCCCATATTTTTTCATCTATATAAATCCTGTGGAACAGGAGACTTTTTCTCTGATTTCATTAGTTTAAGGAACTTGTTGATTAGAAAATTAAGGTACCAGTTGTAGATGACTCTGTCATATGCGCTAGCTAAGAAAGAGAGGAAAGATATACTATGATAGTTAGCAAGGATGGTAGAATTTCATGAGAGTTTTTTAAGAATGGGGGACGTGTTTGTGGGTAGTAGAGAAATAATTCATATAGTGAGTTTCAAGGTTAGAGAACAAGTGGGGATGGTTAGGGGCAGGTAGTATGGTTGAGAACATGGGAAGCATGTGAGATCCAGAAGTGTAGAGGGCTTGATTTCAGCAATAAGAAGGGCCACCTTGGGGGATCATGTCAGGGACGAGATGAGAAGAAAGAAAGTGGTCACAATATTGTCTGCTAATGATTGAGGTGAGGTCATCAACTGAGAGATTGAGAGTCTTATGGGATATTTTGAGGATAGAAGAAAAGAGAAGCGTTTGAAAAATTTTTGTGGAGAATATTAATGTTAGGAAGAAGTAAAATTGCCTTGCTACATACAGTAAGAGCCTATTTGAGACTAGATAATATACATTTATATATAGATATAGGGAACATGATTATGTGATTTCCTCTAGCTGTTAGAAACAAATGGAATGGAAAATAATCAAAAAGCATTTATTAAGTGCTTACTATGTGCTAAACCCTCTGTTTAAAAGAAAAGGAAGTCAGCCAGCACCTGCATTTAAGGAGTTCACATTCTAATTGAGGGAGACAGCACATGAAGTAGGGTTGACTTCATGGCAGATGTAAAGACCAGGCATTATTAAGGACGTGGCAGGCAAGTCATCAGAGCAGATGGCAAAGCCCATGATGACACAGAGACTGGAACATAGTTAGTGCTTAATAAATGCTGTTTGTTTTTTTCCTCTTAGAAAGTGTTGGTAGGGCAAATGGCCCGTGCCTAGTGACTGTTGTTAAAGAGGTAAATAGTCCAAAGGTAAAGAGTAGAATGGGGCTCCACTTTACCTTTCTAGAGGTGTGGTTGATGAGGGTGGGGTCAGTTGGGTGTGTAACAACTAGTAGGAACTGGCTGTGGGGGGTTGGGGAAGCTTCTTAACTACCTTAGTTGTTGTTATGGCTACCAGTGTTGATTTTCATGATGGAAGTAATTTAGGATTGTAGCTTGAGAAGGCAGGATCATTGATAACCTTGAGATTTTCCTTTATTTTTAGCATATTTCATTCTAGCCTCTTTCATTTTTTATCCTGATAAAGTACTCTTGCATTAATCAGATTTGTCCTTCTTTGTTTGAAAAATTACTTCTTGCTGGCTGCTTACAACATTTTGTTCTTTGTCCTTTTGATTATGAAGACCTGTAACTTGGTAACTGTAATTTTTAGTTAAGTTAAATTGAGTATTTCCCTTTGACATCTTATGGATTCAGTGAGTTTTTTCCTTTCATGTTCTTTTGGGAGACCAATAATTCTCAGCTTGTCTTTTGGGCTTGTTGGGCTTGGTGTCTTGCTTTTGTTTGTAGGCAGGACATTTTCTAGAAACATCATTTTGTGTGCTGCTTTCTAGACAAAGTCTTACCCAATTTCCCAGCTGCTCGTGCCCTTCCTAGTGAACCATCTTCATATTTTTCTTGTTTTTGTTCAGCATATACATATTTATGTACTTTCTGTATTCTATATTATGTTATCTGTCTATCTAATCTATCAGTGTTGTATTCATCAATAAAATGGAAGATTCTTGATAGCCAGGATTATTTCGTTTTTGTCTGTGGTTCTTTAGTTTTCCTTTTACTGTATTTTTATACGTTATATTCTTCTAATAGTGTTTAAAGGCAGAGACTTTGATTTTTATCTTTGTATCAGCACTGTACACAGTTCTTTTCACGTAATAGGTGCTTAACAAGTATTTGTTGTTCAGTTGAATATCTTTTTATTTTGCTTCCCCCCCACCTCTCAGTTTTTTAACTGTCTTCCTGATTGACTCTATTCCTCACAGGGATTACTGCTCCACTGTGATTTTCCAACTGCCTTTCCTACTTGTTTTTTATGATCGTCTTGAATTTTCTTCCTTCATTCACCTTATTTCCCATTTTGTGGATGGCCTGTATTCCTTTATACCTCATTGTGATTCTAAAACACTCTGGAACTTCTTCCAAGTATGTCCCTTCTCTCTGTCTCTGTCTCTCTCTCTCTGTCTCTGTCTCTCTCTCTCTCTCTCTTTTGGCTAGGCATTGGGGTTAAGTGTCACACACCTAGTAAGTGTTACGTGTCTGAGGCCTGGATTTCGTTTTCTCTTCTTCAATTTACTGTTTCAGTTTTCTTTTTTGGATTTGGAGAGTTCTACTCTGTTTTCTTCTACAGTATTTGTTCTTATGTTGGACTTCTTTTTTGCCTACTTGTGACTTCAGATCTTTCAATTTTCTTAGGGTTTTCCTGTGAGGGATTCTTTCCTTAACTCTCTTTTCCTTGTTGCTCTCGTTTTACTTTATTTGGCAACTTTTTGTTGTTTTGAAGTGCTTACTTTCTAAGCCACTGCTAAGGGCTAGAGATAGAAGTGATAAACAATTCTTGCCTTCAAGGAGAAACATTATAATGGGAGATAATACGCAAACAGACACATATATAAACAGATACATAATGTATACAGAAAAAAGTGAAGATATGACTGGGGGTGGCACTAGCTGACTGGTGCATCAGGAAAGACTTCTCATGTTACTTCCCCCCCCCCCAACTTCCTGACATCAGGATTCTCCTATGCTTCTTCAGATTTCTTTACTTGTTCATATTTTTCTTTCTTTCTTTTTTTCTTTTTTAGGCAGTTGGGGTTAAGTGACTTGCCCAGGGTCTCATGGCTAGTAAGCATCAAGTGTTTGGTCTGAGGCTGGATTTGAACTGAAGTCCTCCTGACTTCAGGGCCGGTGCTCTATCCGCTGCGCCACCTAGCTGCCCCTTTTACTTGTTCATATTGAAGTGTTGTTCATTTTGTTTGGTTGAAGAAATGCTTCATTCTCCCTGATAACCTGGAGAGTTAAGAAATGTTCTTTGAGCCCCTTTCCCTTCTCTCCTACATGGAGCTTAAATTTTGAGCAGAGATAATAATTCCTTGGCTGTTGTTCAAAGACAAATAGGTCTTTGCAAACATATCACTGCAAAATTTATCCTTTTTTACATATCTTGTAGGTGCAAAATCCTCAGTCCTTTATTTCTTGCTGGTAGTTCTTGTTACCTCACTTTGGGAACTCTTTGCCCGTACTTAGCACCTTCCACTTCATTAGAACCTTTTTATTCAAATTCTTTTTCCTTGTTTTGTCACTTCATCTTTTCTATTAGTTTCCTTTCAGGACAGAACAAACCTCATTCTTCATTTGAATCTTCAGTAGCTTGTTCAGTCGTTTTAATAAATTGAGTAAATATGGCTTACTGGTCTTCCTATGATAGATGCTTGACCTTGACTCCACCTTCCTGCCTGTTATATTGGCAAACTGTTTAACTTAAATGTAAATATTTAGTTTATAACATTGGCTTTGCCAATTCAGATATTGTCTTGCTTTTTCACAGCTATCAGTCCATGATGCATTAATATTGTCCCAGCCGGTTTTTACACCTTTACCACTAAGGTAATTAATGATATTTAAAATTATGTATCACTAATCAGAAGGCAAAATCTTAATGTTTTGAGGACTAGGTTAAGTAAGTTAAGTACTTCTCTATAAAACCAAAGGAATTAAATTACCAGTCTTTCTAGATAGCATTTCATTTTATGCCACATGATTGTCATCTGAACTGAATTGTGAACATAAGAACAAAAGCTAGTGATTTTTTTCCACAGCTGTTCTGATAAACCTGCTTCTCAACATGATATTTGCCCATATATGTGTTATGACAAGTAATATGACTGATTTTTAATGTGGCTTACAGATATCTGTCTCATTGCTTTTTTTAGTCAGAATATATGTTGTATAAAAACATGTATGGATTATGAGCCACTCCTAAAATTTGCCCCTTCCCTCACTGACTCCTGTTTTGGAACAAGTGATGAACAATATTTTCTTTACTTAGAAATAAACATAAACAATAAAAGTCATGTAATTAGGGGCTCAAAATGGGACATAACCTTTATTCACCCAAGATTGGGGATTTACAAATTAACTTTTAATATATTTATATTGTTATACCAGTTTTCAGTATAACTTGGGTTATGACATTAAGGTCAAAAGTATATTAATTTGTGCAACTCATGCTGATGATCTAGAAAATAGTTTAATGTAAAATGAATTCTGAAAACCGTATCAATTATAACAATGGTTTTTGAAGACTTTCTTTTTTCCCCCCAACCGTCATTTCTTTTGGAGGGCAAAAAGTTAAATTTTAAGTCTCGTTCTTAATTTTGTCATTTACACTTACTACCACAAGCAAATTTATTTTTCATCACTAATAACATTTATCATAAGGAAGCGGGAATACAAATTTAGCCTTTTACAATGGGAGTGATGGATACAAACATTAGTTAGAAATACTTGATTCAGCCTGCCATGCAGACAATTTTAAACAGTGATCATTAAGAACAAAATTTGCTTAAATGCCTAAATGCTATCTTTATGTATTTTCATTCTGTGTCATATATTGGCATCAAGATAGATGGTTTGTATTAAATTGTTTATTTCCAGGAGATTAGTGCTGTACCTCAGGATTCTAAAAGAAATCAAAGTACCAAATGTGTTTTGTGTTCAAAATAAGTTTTTTAATGTATTACTTAATTTAATTATTATCAATTTTTTTATTTTTGATTTTTTCCAGTGGAGCCGACTTCAGTACGTTGTTGATGAATCTGGGTCCTGAAAATTGTGCAACACTGCTTCTTTTTGTTTTATTGGAAAGTAAGATCTTGCTTCATTCTCTTAGACCAGCTGTGTTGACAGGTGTGGCAGAAGCTGTTGTTGCTGTAAGTTTTGGATTTTATTCTCCCTTATAAGAAATTATAGCATTGTAACTGTCTTTTAATAGTAACTTATCCAAAAGTAAACATCATTTTAGGTTTAAAAACTTTCACTCCAGTGAAAACGTACTATATTGTACTAAAGCTGAACCTGGTGCAAGTAGAAATCGAAGCAAAGAGGTGGTTTGCAGTTTGGCATGTTTAGGGAAGGGGGTAGGGGTAGGAACAAGAGGTCAATTTTTCAGTGTTACTGTTTTCTGTTTTTTGAGATATTTAGAGAGCAGCAAGTCTATATATTTACTTAACATTGGCCAAATTAAAGACTCATTTAACCGAGACAATTAATTACATAGTTTCTTCTTCTGACTAGAAATTAGTTACAGTTAGTGGCTATATGCAGAATTTTAGTGATACTTAGCATAAGTAACGACAGTAAATAATTACTGGTACAGTAGAAAGCATCCAGAAGTTATTGTCAAACCTAGCTGAATTCTCGTCCTATCTTTGCCACATATGGTTTAGCATAATCCCCATAGTAAGTACTTAATAAATGCTTTAGCTATCTCATTAACCATGCACTCTTCAATAAGTCATTTCTCTTCTTTTAACTTAAGTTACATGTGTAAAATGAAATGCTAGATGTTCTCTAAGGTTCTCTACCTCTTAAAATCTGTGAACTGTGGAGAATAAAAAGAAAACATAAAGCAAGAATTGTGCCTTGAAGGAGTTTACAACTTAGGGAGATAGGCACGCGCGAGGGCACACACACACACACACACACACACACACACACACACACACACACACACACACACACACACACACACACACGTGTCAAAGCCAAAAATGATAAGTGACTCCTTTAGGAATGTAAGAGTATAGGGTTAAATGGAAGAAGAAATCACTGTGTTTGGGTAGTTGGAAAAGATTTCTTGGAAGAAATAGAACTTGAGCTAAATGATAAAGGAAAAGTAAGATTCAGATAAGTAGAGAGGAGCAATTTGTGGTAGTTGTTAAAAAAAAGTTATACTTACAGATCCAATAAAGTATGACATCTCTTACTAGGACTTTCCTTGAAAATTAGATCTTTCTACATTCTTTTAATCCCTATTTTCTTTTGGTTAATTCTTCTAGTTCCAGCTTAAATGTCACTACTTCTCTTTGGTTTTCCATTCTCCTTTCCCAAATCAGAAAGTGATCCTTCTGTCTTTGGATTTTTTCACAGCACTTTAAAAAATATATACATTTTTACTGATGCTTTTCGTTTTTATACATCCTCTCCCTTCTCTCTCCTAGGGAGCCATCCCTTTGTAAACAAAAAAATTTGCACACCCCCAAAAAAGAGGAAAAAAATAAATCAGCAAAAACATATTAAAAAAACACATTTTGTACAATATTTCACACTTGTGGAGGGAGATATTTTCTCGTCAGCTTATATAATTCTTTTGATATTTATCTGAATATTTCATATTGATTTTTTCATGCAGCACACATTCCATCCATTCCATCCATGTGCCGTAATTTGTTTAGCTGTTTCCTGTTGGATGGGCATCTATCTTGTTTCCAGTTCTTTGCTGCCACAGTCAGTGCTACCATAATAAATATTTTGCTGCAAAGGGAGCCTTTCTTTTGTCAATGGCTCCTTGAGATATATGCTTGTATAGCGCTTTTTTTGTTTCTCTTTTAGGTAAGACATATCGTTAACAACCTTCCAGCCATCATCCCTCTCAAAATTATAAGCTTATTCTGTACATACCCTTTATTCCAGCAGTACCACTCCTAGATCTGTATAGAAAAGAGATCATAAAAAAGGGAAAAGGACCTATATGTACAAAAGTATTTATAGGAGCTCTTTTTTTTGTGGTGGCAAAGAATTGGAAATTGAGAGGATGCCCATCAATTGGGGAATGGTCGAACAAGTTGTGGTATATAAAAGCAGTGGAATACTATTGTGCTATAAGAAATGATGAGCAGGGTGGGTAGCTAGGTGGTGCAGTGGATAGAGCAACAGGCCTGGATTCAGGAGGACCTGAGTTCAAATTTGACCTCACACACATAACACTTACTAGCTGTGTGACTCTGGGCAAGTCACTTAACCCCATTGTCTAACCAAATAAAAACAAAAACAAACAAACAAAAAAAGAAATAATGAGCAGGAAAATTTCAGAAAAACCTGGAAAACCTTATGTGAACTGATGCAAAATGAAGTGAGCAGAACCAGGAAAACATTGTACACAATACTAGCAACATTGTGTGATGATCAGTTATAAATAACTTAGCTCTTCTCAGCAATACAGTGATCCAAGACAATTCCAAAGGATTCATGATGGAAAATGCTGTTGACATCCAGAGAAAGGACGGACTGATGGAGTCTGAATGCAGATTGAGACATACTATTTTTACTCTGTGTGTGTGTGTGTGTGTGTGTGTGTGTGTGTGTGTGTGTGTGTTCCTTTTGGTCTGTTTTTTCTTTGACAACATGACTAATATGGAAATATGTTTTACATCATTGCACATATATAACCTATATCAAATTGCTTACTATTTTGGTGAAGGGAAGGAGGGAAAAAGTTTGAAACTCAAAATTTAAAAAAAATGAATGTTAAAAATTATCTTTACGTGTAATTAGAAAAAAATAAAATGCTATTTATAAAAAATTTATAAATTCCTTTGAGATAGCCGGCATGAAATTCATTATTAGTATTCTCTTCTACATCTTTTCACACGGCCAAATTGATTTCTATATAAGAGCATAGATTTAAATCTGAAAGGGACCTTAGTTTCATCCCCTCATTTTATAGCTGGAGAAACAGGCCTAGAGTAATAATTTGCCCAAGGTCATGTAGGTAATAGGAGGTGGGATTGGACTGTTGTCTTCTCATGCCAAATTTAGTAATCTTTACTTACTATACTACAATCTTCCTCCCAACTTCCCATTTTCTCTCGAGGTCACTGTCATCCTCCCAGGCATTCACTGAGGTTTGAAACCTCAGAATCACCCTTGAATATTTCTTCCTCCTCACCCATCAGTCACTAAGTATTATTGATTCTGCCCCTTCATCTCTTTCCTCCTCTTTTTTCCACTTACACTGCATGCTCTCATTTAAGCTGCTGTCAACAGTATTTACTCAAACTGAGACTGTTGTAACAACTTCTGGTTGGTCTCTTTGTGTCTAGATTGTGCCACCTCCAAACTGTTCTTTGCACAGGTACCAAATGATTATCCCAAAGTACAAATCTGATCATCTTGCCTCAAAAATCTATGTCTTTGGGGCAGCTAGGTGGTGCAGTGGATAGAGCACCGGCTCTGGAGTCAGGAGGACCTGAGTTCAAATCCAGCCTCAGACACATAATACTTCCTAGCTGTGTGGCTCTGGGCAAGTCACTTAACCCCAATTGCCTCACTTAAAAAAAAAATCTATGTCTTTGGGATACTGCTCTGTGATGGGACTTTGATGGCCAGTCACAGTCTAACCCTAACTTACCTTTCCAGCCTTGGTTCACCACCTTCATGTTCCTTGGACACGACATTCTGCCTCTTTCTTTTGTATGTTTTCATAGTCTTTATCTCATGCCTGAGACACACTTTGTTGTCTTTGTCATTTCTTCCTTTTAAGGCTAATCTCAGGTGCCTTTTTTTTATTGAAGTCTTCTCTGATTACTTTCCCCTAACCCCAAAAGTGTTTTCTCCTTCCTATACCTCATTCACCATTCCCTACTTTGTATTATATTTATTTGTGTATTTGTGCTACCTTCCTATCATAAAGGCAGGGTCTTTCCTTATCACCAACCTTAGAACCTTGCACACACATAATTGGTGCTTAATAAATGTGTAATTCAATTATTGTTGAGAGGGTAATGTTGTTGCTTTTATTTGCAGTTATTTTTATTGAAACTTTTGGTTGATTAAATTGTTGTTGTTAAAACTATCAATTTTTTTACCTTTTGATAGAGCCTTTTCAGCCATCTAATTGTACTTAAGAAGAGAATAAGTTGGTTGATAAAATTAGCCCAAAGTTTACATTGAGCCTCCATCATTCGGCCTAGCTATTCCACCTAAAAATGGGGATGCATTAGATACCAAAAATAGTTGGAGAAGAAATGTTCAAAAAAGCACTTGGTACTTGTATTGCACTGGTAAATAATAGTAACTATTTAATAGTAGTAATAATAATAATAATGATAGTAATTATTTTAATCAAGCAGTCCCATAGTAAGCTGCTTTATTATCATGAGAAGTTCTAGTCAGGTTGCTTTTTGGAATGAAATGATCACTTTCAAGTAAATGTGAAAGGGAACTTTAATTTACCCCTCTCCATTTTATTGAAGTAATATAAATTAATTATGTACTGTGTGTCCATTTTTTGCTGTGGAGTTTCATATTTGTTTTTACTGCACTTTCTTTTTTTCCAGATGATCTTTCCATTTCAATGGCAGTGCCCGTATATTCCCCTTTGTCCTCTCTCTTTGGCGGCAGTGCTCAGTGCTCCCTTACCATTTATAGTTGGAGTTGACTCAAGATACTTTGATCTTTATGATCCACCACAGGATGTTGTTTGCATTGACTTGGATACCAATATGGTTTATATGTAAGTTTACCTTTTTTTTTTTTAAGGCAATTGGGGTTAAGTGATTTGCCCAAGGTCAAATGTTTCGTCTGAGGTCAGATTTGAACTCAGGTACTCCTGACTTCAGGTACTCTATCCATTGCGCCACCTAGCTGCTCCCTGTAAGTTTACTTTTAAACATTTTTTTCTGTGTTACTTAAAACTCTGAAGAGTGTCTGATAAAATATTAGGTAATGTAAAAGTAAAAAAAAATCAATAAAAATTCATTTAAATAATTTTTGAAAAGGAAGAAATATAATGACCAATTCCTGGAAATTGTTGATTGAAGTTTTTTCTTCTTATTGGTTCAATAGAAGTGGAATAGATGATTTTTCAGAGCTCAATCCAAGGTCTGTGTAGGTATACTTTCTCATAAGTAGGAGGCAGGTGAGTGCAACTTCAATCTGCACATTAATTATGCCATTTTCCCTTAATTTAGAAGGTTTTGCGTTTTTAGAAGTTTCCCCCCTTTGTTCAGAGGTAATAAAATGTTATACTCATGGGATGTTAGGGATCCAGGAAGCAAAGAGTGTCTCTGAACACTGCTCCTGGGAGTCAGCTCTGTCAAGCCCTAGCTCTGTCACCATTTTACTCTGTTATGTTGGATCTGTTATTTACTTTAGCTGGGTTGCAGTATTCTCACTTGCAAAAGAATTCAGCTTTATGCTTTGTAAGGTCCTTTCTAACTTGTAAAATCCAGACAGTAAAATGGACAGATGAATCCTGCTGTTAATTTTCCTGGCCTCAGGTACTAATGAGATTAACAGAAAATTATGAGGAGAGAATGACCATACGGTGGGTCCAGAGAGTAGAATGCAGTTTCTATTTAAATTGGGGGAAGCTAGATAGAGCGCCGGCCCTGGAGTCAGAAATACCTGAGTTCAAATTCGACCGCAGACATTTGACACTAACTAGCTGTGTGACCCTGGGCAAGTCACTTAACCACATTGGCTAACAAAACAAAACAAAAAGTTTCTCCTCAACCATTACAAATGATTTTGTGCAATAACATATTTGAAACAAGGTGATGTTGCTTCATTTGAAATGTCTATATTTTTAAATTTAATGATTTGAGAAAATAATAGTTGTAAGTCATCCTTGTGTTCTTGCTGCATGATTCCTTTTCTCACTGTTTTTTAAAGAGGTTCACATTTGAAGCAAAATATAAATTATTCTAGAGGGATAAAATCATCATTCATGCATAAAATGGGAGGTCTGGAATTACCTCAATTCCATCTAAGAATTTTAGTCAACTCAAGCTATTTCCTTTCCCTACAATTTGACCCAAGAAAGAATTGCAGTATAAGTGAGTGATTTTTCACAGAAAATGAATAGAGGTCAAGAAATCTCAGGAGTTTTTTGTTTTGTTTGTTTTTTAACCAAAATTTCAGTATAGAAGTGTGTTTGTAAAGCATCTTAGCCTTGAAGCTGTTTCTCTAGAAATTTTTAAAGACCTAAAATTTTCAGTTTTCTTTGTGGTATTTTGACAGACTTGCTCAATTCCTTTTCTCAAGCTGAGTCACAATTTTTAGCATCACTGCAGTTCTGTAGTGGATCGATAAGGATTTTTATAGTTGTGTATCTGAGCTCAAGAAAGCATCAGAATTAGTTGGGAGAGTGTACATAGTTGAACCAAAACATTACGTTTTTCAAGAAGGAACACACAATCACTAGTAGTTTTTAAGATACAGTCTTGAAATGAATTTACCATTAACAACTAGTTTTGAGACCACTAAGCTCTTGTAGTTATGAATGTATTGAGATTTGTTAATTGGTAAAAAGCACTGAATAACTTGTATTCATTAAACATTCAGTTTTAGCATTTATAGCAAATAAAAGTTACTTTTGAAGAATTCCTGAATAGTTTCAGTGAAAAACTAGGTATTTTACAGTACTACATATTTTAAAACTGCTTATTTGTGTTTATGGGTGGTGATATCTCTTTTTTTGGTGCCCCCCCCTTTTTTTTGCTCTTTTCCAACTGTCACCGTTTTCTTTCCTTTTCAGTTATCATATTGAATAAATTAAATAAATGTTGGGTGTAACTTTTTAAATTCAATTTTATTTTCAGATTTTCATTCTCTCCTGTCTACTTCTCCTTCTCCCCTTCCCCCACAATTGAGAAGCACTTTTAATTTTAACCATTTATGTTAAAGTTTCAAGAATAAAATTTCATTTATTTCCCACTATTACTTTGGACTATTTGTACATTTCAATCTCTTTAATGTTTTTCCCATTGGGATCAGCACTTTAAATATAGTCTTTGTAATGTACCAGTTACAAATGCTTTCTTGGAAGTGCTTCCCAATTTTTTTTGTTGCCTTTAAATATTGGGTTGACCTCAAACGTGGCAAGTTATGTGGAACATTCATCTTATGCTTTATTGCTAAATTCATTTGGGTATAGGTAAACGAGGTGGTGGTGTGTTTGGAACTTTGCTATAAGGATTTGGAGCTGAGAGATGGGTTTTTGGATTTAGATCAGTACCTCAAACATATTTTGATGAATCCAAATTACAGTTTTGAATACCTAGGGAGCTTACTATAATTTAGAAAAAAAAAAGTCATCTAGCCTTTCTAACTTTTTAATGGACCTGAGAAGTAACACATTTGGAAAATGAATTTTCCCTATCAGTCCTTTTATGCTCATTCTGAGAAGGTAAGGTTATAAAATATTCATACTAGCTAAAAATTTATTAACTATAACTCACATTTAACATTACTTGGAATTAATTAAGTTATAATGACCTTGTAAGGTAGATAATGCAAGGATAATTATTTTGTAGATGAGAAAACTGGCTCTGAGATGACATTTTTTCATTCACACACCTAGTAAGCGTTGGCAACCAGGACTTTGATCCAAGTCTTTTGACTGTATGTCCAAGGCTTTTTCATGTTGAAGTAAAGATCTGGGAATCAAGATTAAGTGTAAAATTCACATCAAAAGCAAAAAAAAAATTAGCCTATTTAAGTTATAAAAGAACAAGAACCAAAATCTTTTTTTTTTTTTTTGGCTAGGCATTGGAGTTACGTGACTTGCCCAGGGTCACACAGCTAGTAAGTGTTATGTGTTTGGGGCTGGATTTGAACTCAGGTTCTCCTGAATCCAGGGCCGGTGTTCTATCCACTGCACCACCTAGCTCCCCCCAAGAACCAGAATCTTATGGAGGCCCTAATCCTAAAATTAGGTAAAGAAATTTTATGTCCATGTTTTTGATTACATGTGCAAAACTAGGTTGTTTGTTTTTCCCTGTTTAGAGTGACAGCAGGTTAAGTTCACATACCTTCTGGAAGGGTTGAAAGTCAGCATTGGAAGACTTGTCATGTTACTTTTGCTAGCCTAAAGACGTAGCCAAAGGAAGCAAAACAAAACAGAGGGGGCCTGCCCAGAGTGAATGTTTTATGAGGGTTCTTATTCTGGGGCATCAGTCCTTACTACATGCAGATCACCACTGATTTTTTTTTAAATTAAATAATTTATTTTTAGTTTTCAACATTCACTTCCATTAAATTTTCTCCCTTTTTTCTCCTCCCCCCTCCCCAAGATGGCATGTAATCTGATATAGGCTCTACTTATACATTCATATTAAGTATATTTTCACATTGCTCATGATATATAGAAGAATTAGAACTAATGGGAAGAAACACGAGAAAGAAGAAATAAAACAATAAAAGAAAAGGAGAGCAAATGTTATGCTTCTATCTACATTCAGACTCCATGGTTCTTTTTCTGGATGTGGATAGCATTTTTCCATCATAAGTCTTTTAGATCACCGTTGATCTTGAGACTTAACATATCCTTTTCATGTGTTACTTTATTTAATTTTATTGTTTTTAGGCATTTGGGGTTAAGGGACTTGTCCGGGGTCACACAGCTAGTAAGTGTCAAGTGTTTGGTCTGAGGCCAGATTTGAACTCAGGTTCTCCTGACTTCAGGACTGGTGCTCTATCTACTATGCCACCTTGCTGCCCATGTTATTTTTTTTAAAGGTCTGTCTTATACATGACTTTACTAGAAGGTGGATGATTCATTTTCACATTTGTTTTCAAGTCTTCCTTGAAATTTTTTTCTCAGTTCTGGAAATTTCCAGGAATCCTTTTACTGTGCTACAGTTTTCATTAACATACTGATAGAAGAGGTCTATTATCAGCTGGGACTGTTGGTGATTTTTTTCCAACAGTCCCATCTGACCGAGGATCTCTATAACAGACCTGATTCTAGTCCAAGATCATTTACTGAGATATAGCTTGTTGTGGCCTTAGAATGTTACCTTGGACCCTGCTAAGTCATTTGCCCAAGCCCAAATCCCGGTCTCTTCAGTGATTGTCTACTGCATCATCCTACCTGTAAGATTAAAATAATTAACCTCAGTTTGCATTTACTATGTTTTCTATTTATTAAATAGATCTGATGAAAAGAAGAACATGAATTGGAAACAGCTTCCCAAAAAGCCCTGTAAAAATTTACTTAGTACTTTAAAGAAATTGTATCCCCAGTTGTCTTCAGGTAAGTATGAAATATTTCATGTAAAAGGAAGTACCTAGTGTGTTTGTAAATAAATAATGAAGTATTTTAATTAAAGATTTATCCTCTTTCCTGATGGAGTACATTGAGAATATCTGGGACAAATAAGTTTTACTTGTGTATAATTATGTGTAGAAAGTTCTAAGACTTTTATTCTCAAAAGAGAATAAAATTTCACTTTGTTCATTTTTTACTTCGGTCATTTGATTTTTTTTCTTTTTAATCAGGTTAGCTGGTGGTTTGCTGATTTTTGTTAACCTTTCAATTATTTTCATAATCACTATAGTCCTATTGTTTTCCAGTTTATTTCTCCTAATAAAAAGAGTACTTTTGTGCTCCTTTTGGCTTTAATTTTTTAATTTCAGAGTTGATTGGAATTTTCTTTTATTTTTTATTACATATTCTTCTCTGAGATAAATTTAATGTATAAGGCATGTTAACTCGCTTTCTTTTATCCATTTCATTTCAATGTATTTTGTCAACAGTATTAGAATTTTTTCAGTCTTGCTGTTTAAAGTTATATTGGGAGCAAACGTTAAATTAGTATTATTTTAATTAGCTAATGTAGTAAACAACAGTGGTTTTTACCTTTATATCTTAAGTATAAAATATCATATTGTCAAATTGGTATTATATTATCTGAAAATCCTTCCCCCTCCCCTGAACAAAAAAAAAATTGCCATTATTTTTTAACTTAAAACATTTAGCAATCATTTTAAAATTTTGAGTTCCACAGTCTCCCTCTCCCTCCTATACCTCCGCATCAAGAAGGCAGGCAATTTTGTATCGATCATACATGTGAAGTCATACAAAACATATTTCCATTTAGCTGTGTTTGTGTTACAGAAGAAAACACAAAACAATAAAAGTAGAGTGTTTTTTTTTTTAAAGTGTGCTTCAGTCTATTCAGAGTTCATTGTTTCTCTTTCTGGAGATGGATAGATGGATAGCATTTTTCATCATGGGACCTTTGGAACTGCCTTGGATCTTTGTCTTTAACAATAGCTAAGTCTTTCACAGTTGATCATCCCTTACAATATTGCTGTTACTATGTACGATATTCTCTTGGTTTTGCTCACTTCACTTTGTATCAGTTCATATAAGTCTTACCAAGTTTTTCTGAAACCATCCTGCTTGTTGTTTCTTACAAGACAATATTCTTTCATCACAAATCTTATACCACAACTTGTTCAGCCATTCTCCACTTTGACAGGCATCCATTTGATATCCATTTCTTTGCCAACATGGAAAGAGCTTCTGTAAATGATTTTGTACATGTAGGTCCTTCTCCCTTTTTTATGATCCCTTTGGGATCAAAAAGGGTATGCACAGTTTTACAGACCTTTGGGCATAGTTCCAAATTGTTCTCCAGAATGATTGGACTAGTAGTTCATGACTCCACCAAAAGTGTATCAGTGTCCCCACCAGCATTTTTTAATTTCTTTTTCTGTCATGGTGTTAATTAATTTGATAGTCATGAGGTGGTACCTTAGAGTTGTTTTATTGTGGATTTTTCTAATCAGCAGTGATTTAGAGCTTTTCTTTATGTGACTATTGATAGCTTTGATTTCTTCTTCTCGAAACTGCCTTAGAGTATTTATCAACTGGGGAATGGCTCTTCTTTTTATAAATTCAACTAAGTTCCCTATATGAGAAATGAGGCCTTTATCAGAGAAACATTCTATAAAGATTTCCCCCCCAGTTTTCGGTTTTCTTTCTAGTTTTGTCTGCATTAGTTTTGTTTGTACAAAAGCTTTTTTTTCCTGTAATCAGAATTATCTATTTACTTCCCACAATCCCCTCTATCTCTTGTTTGGTAATAAATTTTTCCCTTCTCCATAGATCGGACAGGTACATTTTTTTCCAAGCTCTCCTAATTTTCTTATAGCATGTTAGGGAATCTGCAGCTTCAAGGCCACATGTGGTCTTCTAGGTCCTCAGGGACAGCCCTTTGACTGAATCCAAACTTCACACAACAAATCCCCTTAATAAAAGGATTTGTTATGTAAAACTTGGACTTATGTCTTATGATGTCATCTCTTATGTCTAAATCATTTATCCATTTTGACCTTATCTTGGTATACAGTGTAATATGTTGGTCTATACCTAGTTTCTGCCAAACTGCTTTCCAGTTATCCCAGCAATTTTTGTCAAATGTCAAATTTTTTTTTTTTTACCAATTTGAGTTCTTACCCAACTTGGGTCTTTGGGTTTGTCAAACACTAGATTACTATGGTCATTTATTACTGTGTGTTGTGTACCTAAGTTATTCCACTGATTTACCACTCTTATTTTTTTAGCCAGTACCAGATCATTTTGATGATTACTGCTTTGTAATATAGTTTGAAATGTAGAACTGCTAGGCTTCCTTCCTTCGCATTTTTTTTCATTGATTCCCTGATATTCTTGACCTTTTGTTCTTCGAGATGAATTTTATTTTTTTCTAGTTCTACATTACTAGATGCAGAATGAAGGCATTTGACAAAATACAACACCCATTCATGTTGAAAACACTAGAAAGCATAGGAATCTATGGAACCTTTCTTAAAATGATAAGTAGCATCTATCTAAAACCAAGCATTATCTTTAACAGGGATAAGCTAGAAGCCTTTCCAATAAGATCTGCAGTGAAGCAAGGATGTTCGTTATCGCCACTGTTATTCGATATTGTACTAGAAATGCTAGGTATAGCAAGAACACAAGAAAAAGGAATTGAAGAAATAAAAATAGGCAATGAGGAAACAAAAACTATCACTCTGCAGATGATATGAGGGTATAATTAGAGAACCCTAGAGAGTCAACTGAAAAACTAGTTGAAACAGTCAACAGCTTCAGCAACATTGCAGGATATAAGAAGAACCCACATGAATAATTAGTATTTTTGTGTAGTACCAATAAAACCCAGCAGCAGGAGATAGAAAAAGAAATTCCAGTTAAAATAACAGCTTACAATATAAAATACTTGGAAGTCTACTCACCAAGAGAAGCCCAGGGATTACTGTGATCACACTGACAAATACAGCTAGAAAAAATAATAGCAAGATTCATCTAGAAGAAGAAAAGGCCATTGTCTTTTAAGAAATATTGAATTCAAGGGGGTGGAGGTTGAGGGCTGTATCATGGTTTTAGCAGATTGCTTCATCGTGACCTTTTTCTGGTTCTTCCAGGCACAGTGCCTGCAAATAGTAGGCAATTAATTAATGCTTATTGGTTGATTTATTCTAAGCTCTCTTTTGTTTGTGCCCTTTCCATTATGCAGTTCACAGAAAAACACAAGAAGGCTCAGCAGTGGAGATGACCCCAATAGAAGCAGACTTTTCCTGGCAGAAGAAAATGACTGAACTTGAGATGGAAATCCAGGAGGCATTTTTACGCTTTATGGCTTCAGTTTTAAAGGGATATCGGACATACCTCAAACCAATTACAGAAGCTCCTTCAAATAAAGCTACAGCTGCAGATTCATTGTTTGACCGGCAAGGTGAGTGTTGTTGAAAGGTGCAATTCTGTATGATTGGAATGAGTTTTCTATTGTGCTTCCTTACGGAATGATATCCGAAATAAAAACTTTTCTGAATTATGTTCATAATGTATTTCAGCTAAAAAAATCTTATATTCTAGGTACTCGGGATATAAATATGAAAACAATCTCTGCTGTAAAGGGCTTTATAATCTGCTAGGTACATACAGATAATACATACCTTATCATCAGTAGTATAAGTATAATCTTTATACTTATAAATCAGTCATAACAATTGGTTGGAGTTTGAATGGAGTTTAATTTTACATTTTTCTTAGATTTTCTTACCAAGATGTTTTTAGTTCTGGAATGAAGTCTTTGAAGGGAAACAGTACTAGGTCAGTAAGATGAATGTTTGAATATACAGTAGATAGAGTATCTATAAATAGTTCATATTTTGTATTAATCATTGAACAGAGATTTTTTTGTATTCTTGGTTATAACTAAAATTTAATTTCTCTTTTAACCTTAAAGTATTTTTTGGTAGTTTGCAAAATAAGTTCTTTCCAAATAGCCTTGTTCTGGGGCTTGGGAGAGGGAGTGGAAAGAACCATAGTAGTTCTTCACCTTTTCCTCTTGTCTCTCAGGCTTCTGGGAAACTTATATTTTCATCTTCAAATTGTTTAAATTCTTTTTTTCACTTCTGTTTTCCTGTAGCAACTTTTTTTTTTGAGGCAAGTCAGACTTGCCCAGGCTCACGCAGCTAGTAAGTGTGAGGTTAGATTTGTGCTGTATCCACTGAACCACTTAGCTAAGCCCCCGAATGACCCCTGTTCCTTCCCCTTAAACACCCCCAGCAACTGTTTTAAGAATTTATTTTATAATTATTCTTCTCATTTTTGTCCTTTGTTGCTTCTCCTGTTTCAAGGTAGCTTTGTAAGTCTCATTGCTTGTATACTTTATCAGGGGGTGGTGAACTTGCAGCCTCGAGGCCTTTTATTAAGGGGATTTGTTCTGTGAAGTTTGGATTCGTCAAAAGGCCACACTTGAGGACTTAGAGGGCCATGTGTAGCCTGGCAGCAGGTTCCCTACTCCTACTAGTTCTTGCTTCTGCCTCTAAGGAGATTATAGTTAGCTGATTTGAAATACAACAGATAACCATAGTAAAAGACAGGAATTACCTATGATAAGAGCAAATGGAGTGGTTTGAGATAACTTAGTAGGAAGAGATTGCTTATAGCTGGGGCATCAGAGCTTTGTGGGAGAAAGATAGAAAAGGGCTGACTGAGATTGGGGAATATGAAAGGGAAAAACATTAAGGCTGAGAAAGTAAATTAAAACCACATTGATGAAGACCTTAAATGTTAAGTCATGGAGTGTGTATTTTATTTTGTAAACAATGGGAAACTACTAGATATTTTTGAGCATGGAATCAAAGAAATTAAATAATGGCACAAGAGTTAAATACAACCCAAAGGTATAATAGATGTCACAAGCTGATAGATAACTGTCAATTGAGCAATTATAGATAAATACTGAGAACTGAGAAAAGAGAGTAATATGTGAGCTAAGGTGATTTTTATGGGGATATCAGGGAGGAAGAAAGACTGAGCTTTTTGTTTTTAATTTTCATTTAAATTTTTATTTTTATTATTGTAAGCTTGCCAAAAATTACCAAACAAGAACATTTCTCCATCAAAAAACAGCAAAAGACAGCTATAAATGAATGTAAATCTCAACTATATACAACTTTTTAAAAAAGTATACTTCAAAAACCTTTTTTTTTGTTTTGAAGATAGTAGGGGTTAAGTGACTTGCCCAAGGTTACATAGTCAAAAAACTTTTTATGAAGTATACTTCAAAAAGAAGTGTATTTCAGATTTAAGATGTTAGGTCCAGCACTGCCATATGCTGTCTTTTTTCTCTCTTCTTTGTTTTAGTTAATCATTCCTTGGTACTCTCATCTCTCTCTCTTTGTAATCATTACTTCCACCTTCCATGACTCTCCCCTACCCCTTCAAAAAAAAAATCCCAAAAAACCCCGATTTTACAAGCTGTTCTGAAAACCGTGGTTCACATGACATGCTAGAAGTTTGGGAGGAAGAAAATGGGAATAGCTTGTTGTCTGTGTTTCTCTCTTTCCATCTTTGACCTCGACATTTACTAGGTTTTAGAAGAGTTTTTTGCTTTTTGTTTTTAATTTGTATTTTTCACAAATGGTGAGGATTGTATTCCTGAAAATATTTTTATATACATGTTAAAATTCTTGTTTTATGTTTGTGTGTCATCTATACATTTTAATAACCAAATGTAAATATTAAGAATAAAGATGATTATTAGTATTTTCTTTATTCAAAACAAAACAAAACCTCTTTATAAATAGGAATAGTCACACAAAACAAATCTATATATTGGTTGTGCCTGCAAATTTGTCTCATTTTGCACCTGTTATCCGTCAGCTTTCTACAGAGTTGGGAAAAGTGATTTATTATCACTCTTCTGGATTCATGATTGTTAATCCAACTATGGAGAATGTATAAAGGTAGGATGGGCAGAGAATCGTCCCCGACAGCTCTCTTCCCTTTCACTGCTAAACTCTTAAGAGTAATTTACATTTGTTTTTATTCTTTACTTGATAAAAGTGTTCAGGGTATAGAAGCATGATATGTTCATAGTGGACAATTTTTGTCCTCTTATTCCTTACTCTTAACTCATGTTTTTCTTGTCTTTTTTTGTTTTTAATATAAATTTATTTATTTTCAGTTTTCAACATTTACTTCCATAAGATTTTGAGTTCCAAATTTTCACCCCATCTCACCCCTCCCCCCACCCCAAGATGGCATACATTCTGAATATCCCTTCCCCTAGTCTGTCCTCTCTTCTCTCTCTTCGCCCCTTCTCTTATCTGCTTTCCCTTCTATTTTCCTGTAGGGCAGGACAGACTTCTGTACCCCATTTCCTGTATTTCTTATTTCCCAGTAGCATGTGAAAACATTTTTTTTAAACATATGTTTTTAAAACTTTAGGTTTCAAATCTTCTCCCTTCCTCCCTCCCCACCCACCTTCATTGAAAAGGTAAGCAACTCATTATAAGTTATACATGTGCAGTTATGCAAAACACTTCCATAGTAGACATGTTGTGAAAAACTAACTCTATTTCCCTTAATCCTATCCTGCCCTCCCATTTATTCTGTTCTTTCTTGTGACCCTGTCCCTCCTCAGAAGTATTGCTTCTGATTACCCTGTTTCTCAATCTGCCCTCCTCTCTATCATCCCCCTGCTGTCTTGTCCCCTTCTCCCCCTATTTTCCCATAGGGTAAGACAGATTTCCTTACCCAATTGAATACACATTCAAATGTTATTCCCTCCTTAAGCCAAATCCTATGAGAATAAGATTCCCTCATTCCCTCTCACCTTCCCCCATTTTCCCTCCACCGTAAGAGCATTTTCTTTTTTTTTTGTGAGATAATTTACCCCATTCTACCTCTCCCTTTCTTCTTCTCCAAATATAATCCTCTCCCATCCCTTAATTTTATTCTCTAGATATGACCTCTTAATCTTCAACTCACATAATTTTTTTCCTCCAACTACCCTAATACTGACAAAGGTCTCATGAGTTGTAAATATCATCTTTTGACTCATGTTTTTCTAATACATTTCTCATCATCCTCACCTCTTCCTAACTTGCTTTGAGTGTGAAAGTATATTTTGATTTAATTTGCAAGGTCTGAAAGTTTTTCAATGAATTTCTCTATCTTTTCATCATTTGTAGCTAATTTTGACTCACAAGTTATAATTATCTTTTTGGTGGTCTTTTTTCAAAAAAAATTATTTTTAATTTTCAACATTCACTTTTAGAAGATTTTGTTTTAAATTTTTGCCCTTCCCTGAGATGGCATGTAATCTGATATAGACTATATACCTACAATCATATTAAACATATTTCCACATTAGTTATGTTGTAAAGAAGAATCAGAACTAAAGGGGAAAACCACAAGAAAGAAGAAACAAACAAACAAAAAAAGAGAAAATAGTAAGCTTCGGTCTGCATTCAGACTCCATGATTCTTCGTAGTTGTCTTTTACAAATACTTATCACAAACACTGCGATAGAAGATGAGTGTCCTATGAAATGATATTTCTTCTTGCCTTTTTTAAGTAACAGCAAGACCAAATCTATCATTTCTTTTATTTGTCTCTGTGGGCCATCCTTTCATTAGCTGCAATTTCCTTCCTTCTGGTTTCATTGTGATAAGAACTAAAAGATAGATGCAGTTTGTTTCCTATATTTTGTCCGTGAGTTGGTGATTGAACAAGGACGTCATATTTAGAGTGTCTCAAATGAAATAAGTTTATGATGTTATAAAATTGTGATTCTTAGCACCCTCTATTTACCTTTTCACCATTCTGCTGCCATCACTGCAGAAGCAGAGGGTACCATGTAGAATTAAGGGTCTTTTTATGTTCTCTTCCCTCTGCTGTACCCCTACCCCCAGACCTCCTCAACTTGCATTCCTATGATCAAAGAATTAATCAGCAGTTGGCCAGCTTACTGGCAATGCAACTCTTATTTAGTTTGATCAGTCTTTAGAAAGCAGGAATGGTCTTGCTGGGACTGAGCATAATAAGGCCTACTAGAGTTTACTCTTTTCTGGCATAGCCTCCACCCAGTGATGAGGGATATGAGGAAGAATGTGAGGCATTAGGCTAGATTAGACCAAATGTATATAGGGGAGATCTGTTTTGGGGGTAACAGAGTTGTGAGGGCATTGAGGGATTTGTTCACCAGTATCTGAAAATGAAGAAGATACTAAAGGCTTTGAAAAATATTAGACCTTTTTGATATTGAAAAAAAAAATGACCTAAAGAAGATCGAAAAATACCAGTCTATATTCCTGCTTCCCATCTACATAGGTTTTTAATGAGAGTTATTTATACATGTGTGGTACAAGAAATAACTGTGTCTCCTGCCATGTGGGTAGAACTATTTCTTTTCTTTAAAAGGTAGTGAAATTGTCCTCG